GCCAAGAAATTGACCAGCTAATGACTAGCAAGAATTATCCATCTTAAAAAATTCCTCTTGCTTGCTTAAGGATATCAATTAACTTTTCGTTCCTAAAGCAAATAAGTCCAAACACAAAAACATCGTATCACCTGGCATTCTGAAACAAATCGTTCCAATATAAAAAAAAAGCATAAATATTGGTTTTGTTCGAAAAAGTTTATAAAATTTAGAAACTTTGATATAATTACAGCCATCGATCAGATAAAATGTCAATTTTTTGGTTTTGAAAATGTGTTTATAGCAAGAACAATTAACTTGTTAAATGATGCACTTACTAACCGTGGTTTCACAGTGCGTTTTACAGCGAATGACTAATTAGCTGAAAGTGATTAATGGTGATGTCAGCACATCCAGTCAATCCTCAATTATCCCAACTGTTATCGAATAAATTATTTCTCATTTATCTCGAACCAATATTTACAAAGAAAGAGCTATTAAGTTGATCGAACGGTTTCGGTTTTAATTTTATTGTAATTCTTAGTCGAAGAAAATTATAAAATTACATATTATAAATCTTCTTAGTTCAAGAAAAAGCTTTATTAATGAAAGCATTTGACTTAAAATGGATTAATATTTAGGGCTAATTGCAGCTGAAAATTTGATTTCAACTAAAATATTTACTATGCAATCAATTTTTTTATTGCCTTATAATATGTACAATATGATGTTACATAATATAATAAAATTTATACATTGCATTTCCTTAAAAAATATGAGACAAATGATATTCTTCCTTCATAGTGTATGGTATAATGTAAGGTTTTAGACTTTTTGACAAGAGAAAATTTGTTAATATGGAGGATAAATGAGAAATATACAAGAAAGGGCAAAACCTTAATACCACATAATTCGAGTACCACATAACATAATTAGATTTTTGCCTTAGAATTATAAGGACAGAATAAAATTTTTTTTGGCTTAAATTTTAATTTTTTAAATTCTATTTTATTTATTGCATTGAACATATTTTGTTAATCATTTTTCTTGCTGTTTTTCTGCCCTTTAAATTTTTTTATTTTAATTTTTTATTTAATTTATAATTTATCTTTTTTATTTTTTGCATCCATTGTTTGAAATTAAATGCAAAAATTAAAATTTCTATTTCTATGAAATTTCTAAAATTTCTATGAAAAATTTTTGTGAAAATCTTATTGATTCATTTGATTTTTTAACTGATTTCATTAATTTTAATTTAAGACTTATTTAAATATTATTAATAATTAACTTCATTAAATTGCTTCTTTCGTTTTCTTTCAAAATACAAATTGGATTCGATATTACTTTCAAAAATAATTGACATTTCGTGTAGGTTTATGTCAATAAATGCTCGTGCATTATGAAGCAATTTGCGGAAACATGAAATTAGAAAATCCTTCCTGAAAAATTTAGATGGTAGTAAGGTTTCCGAAATTAATTAAATCAAATCTAGTTAAACTAATTTCGAATAATTCTTCTTTATAATCTTATAAATTTTTTATTTCGAAATTCGAATAATCGAGTTGAATTATGCATTTCATCGTTGATTAATATGCTTTGAAATGCATTTTTTTAAGGTTATACTCATCTAAGGGTTATATGGAAGAAGAGAAAGGTAAAAGTATATGAAAAAAGGGAAAGGTTTCAATAGTATGAATTTATAGAAATTTTAAATTTCTGACGCCAATGAGAATAATAATCGAAAGGTCACAATTTTTTGGTTCAAAATATTTAAGAAAATTCTAAGATCTAAAAAAGTTTTTCACAAAAAAAAATAAGCGAAAACTTTATTTTATCATAAAATTTAGCTCTTATTTTTACTATTTGTTTCTTATTAATTTCTGAAATTTCACTGCAAATAAGTTTTGGTGGAATTAAGAAAAAAAGTGAATGGATCAAAAAATGCAATTAGCACATAATAGAATAGAATCGACGTTGGCGTGAATTTTGTGGAAATTTCGTTTTGATTTTCAACTATTGGTAAACATAGTTGAACTAATTTTATTTTATGGAAACTTATTAACTGAAATTCGATTAAAATTCCTTTGGGAAAACGGTCGCGTTTTTGTGCAATAATTCGTAGATAATTCTTCAGCACGTTAATCTTTACGTTAATCATTTTCTTGAGATTTTTGGAATAAATTACCTAAATAAAACTGCAGTTTTATATGCAATATGCATAAATAACCTGAAAATTTTTGCCGAATTTTTTCTCAAAAAAATAATAATTGCAGTTGGATTTAAATTAGTCCAATAATATAATTTTAATGGAAATTTTGTCGCTTAACTTAGTTAATTAAGCCTTTATCGGTATTCAATAGACGGCTGAAGATGCATAGCAATGTGGGACTATTAAATAATGGAGTCAATTTGCTAGATTAGCATCGAATTAGTGGCCAGTGAACAATTAATTTGTCTCAGCTGTGCAACTAATTTACCGATAGAGATCGATTAATTTAACCAATAAAAGAAAATATTTTGTGCCATATTTTTAAAATATGCTAAATATTCACCATTCTTGAGAAATGTCCAATTATACAATATTTCTGTATTCATTTACTTGACGGCAAGATTTGTATTAAGGCCTTTAACATGTTTATGCAAATATTGATGAAACAGTAAATCTTCCATTTTTCATCGTCAACTTATCAAAAATCTCATAATTTTTATAAAAGTTGTCCAAATGATTTGTATGAAAATAGTTGAAAAAATAGATAATCACTTTGGTAAAAGAATTGGTTTTTTTTGACGTAATTTATTATTAGATACAATTGAATTTAGGAATGATCAAAGAATCTCGCCGAGGATAATAAAGAATAATCATTCTGATTATTTCCGAATTATATATTCACACATTGTGCAATTTGGTTGTGCTAGTCGGAGTTTTTTCAATCGAAAACTTCAATTTCAGCTCGACAACCGGAAGTTCAGACTCAAAGTTTGGTCATTTAAACAATTGCACATACTTGGTAACAAATAGTAGCGCTAGCAGTCTACTTCTTTTCTTATTCCCCTTCTTTCCAACATCATAAACGACTTTTTCTCTTGCAAAAACTTAAAGCAATTACTTTAAATTACAGTATAGCAAATTATTGTCAATATTTATTTCTAGCTTTATTTATTTTTATTTATTTTTAGTTGATTTCTTTCTTCGAACTTCAAAAAATCTTTCGTTAGGCTAAAGAAAATGGAAAAAAGAAAAGCTTTTGATTTTATCTCAAATGTGAATAGAAATAAAGCCTGGAAAAGCTTTTCTGTAGAAAATTTATCAGCATTTACTAGATTTTAGATTTCTTAATTTTAAAGAATTATGGAATGTGATGCGATTATTTTCAAGAATACGGCTTATTTACCATGAAATAAGGAGGAAAACATTGTATACAAAAATTACCAAGATTGGTCATGTGAAATTTTTTTTTATGCTGGTTAAATTAAACAACTTTTAGCCTGATCATTAATTATCATTTTTTAGCAAACCTTTTAATAAAAGCTAACTGAAGCCATCTGTAGATTTTGGATTATATGGAATTTTTATGATCGTTTTGATTAGAGAACTATTAAATGCGAATTAAATGCAGATGTTTAAGGACAAGTAAATCAATTTCCTTGTTGCAATCAAATCCGAATTCCTTGAATATGAATGCGATAACTGGATTGGTATAAATGCGACGATTATATCAAAAATTCGTTCGGTCGTTTAAAATTAACTTCATATTTTTATATTCAATATCAACATATTTTTAATATTATTCACTGTTTTAAGATAAGTTTCATCCATTGTCGACCATTTCTATAGTTAAGCTTGAGGAATTTTTACGAAGTGATCTCTTATGAGAAAAAGGGTAATTCATCTGGCCGACTTAAATTTAACGTATAAGTTATTTGTACGCCGGTTGCTGCTATCATTAGATTTTTTAATAATAAGAATACGAAAGCAATAAAATTTGATATGAATCAATTTCCGATTCGAATTGTTTTTACACTTAAAAGGTTCATAATACTTTTTCTGCTAATCAAATTAAATTTATGAAATTGTTACGGTTTACAGAAAATCGCGAATAATCGCGAACTCGATTTTTTTTCAGTCTCACATCAAGTGATAAATATATTTATTTATTGACGTATTTCATAACGATGAAGAAGATTGAGTAATCAGCGCAGGTGGCATTTTGTGGTGATAAGAGTATCGATGCATGTGGTATGAGAATGAAGATAGGTGCAACCATGTGAAATTTTATTCGCTTTTATTCGCATCGCGAGTAATCTATTCCATTTTCATAGAACTATTTTTGTTTCTGAATTTGATGTGCCTATTAATATGGCATAAATGGTAAATGGTAAATGAATTTTAACCATTTGGCACCGCTTGATCGCTGATCACAAATTTATGCAATGAAAAATGGCATGAACTTAGCGTGAAAAAGTGACTGGTTGCTGGTACAACATGATTGATAATTATAAAAATAAGGCATTAGATAACAATAACAATAGAATAGAATATATACTATAAAATAATTAAATGAACTCAGTGATTAACGGCAAGAGAATTTACATGATTATTTAGTAGTAGAATGCTAAGTGCTAAATTACTATTTTACTATTCAGCCGCATTCTATTGAATAATTAGGGTGAAAATGAATGGAACCCTAGTAAAAGACAATTTCTCAATTATATATTATCATGATCTGAATAGCAGAGCCAAGAAAAAATTCATGCGATTGAAAAAATATTTAATAATTCACTGAGGAGTTTAAAACACTTACTGCATTGAAAAAAGTTATCATAAAGCATTTTCATTTCTATTCGAAAATATTAGAAAAATGTAAAAGATAAAAAAATTTTGAAAATCTAAAATAGAAAAACATCCTACATAAAGTTGGGCAATTAGTTGATGATTTTTGATTTAAATGATGAAATACCATTTTGTTCAGTTCATAGGACGAAAAAGAGTTAACTTCAAAGGAAAATATCATCATAAGATATCAAATAAAAGTTAAAGATGAAGGTTGATATAGAAGAGATTGTGTTGGAAATGTGAATAATGTGAAAGGAAATGATGACGATGTCAATGAGCTAAGTGAAGAAGTAAATAAAGAACTAGGGATAGTCTGACATATTGCTGGAATATTGCTGCCATTTGTTAGACTAGAATTATCGAGATCAGGTGTATGTGGTGATAAAGAAGCATTAGCATCCATTCCAGGATTATGCTTTTTCCATTTCGTTCGCCTATTTTGAAACCATATTTTCACCTGAAATATGGTTTTTACTTTTATATTATAGTTAATTATACTTTTATAGTTCAGCGTCAGAGTAGAATTTATTATCATCTGTGAATTTTTTAAAGGTGGTATGGTATTTCAATGAAAAATTATAATAATTAATTAAAATGCAAAAAATGCTAAAAAAAACAGCCATAGTCAAAGTTAATCTGCTAACTCCATTTGACGGTATATAAATGGGAGTTAACCTGAGTTTCTGAGAGTTGAAGAGCGACAGCGAGATTAAGCCGCTCACAAACGCTTAGATATCTGGAAATTCAACGTTTAGCCATACGTCTTTGTTCATACAAGGATGCATTTTATGCTGAAGGACATTAATATTCTGTGGAAATTTTTCGTGCTTTACCTGGTGCTTTTAAATTTATTTTCAAGTGCAACAAGTTGTTCATAAGTAAATGCTGTTCGAGCCCGCCTGACCTTGCACTCTTTTATGCTTCTGAAACTTTTCTTGAATCGATCGTCTCAAATATTGCACTCATTTAAAAAAAAAAAAAAGCCTGAAAAGTGAGAATTTTCGCTACTAGAAAAAAGGTAAAAAGTTTATTATCATATGAAGGCACAGAACGGATAAGTGTGATATGTTGCATCCATTTAAATCAAGCGCCATAGGTTTGATTTCTACTGCATTATGGGAATATACCTGTCCTTAAAAGCGCAGTCGATTGGTGCTAAAAGCTTTTACACAAATGGCTCTCTCATTCATAACAGTCGATCTAGGCAGCAAAACCAGAAATGAATGCTTAAATGACAATGATATCGAACAATTCGAGAATTTTAAATTTTATTATTTAAATTTAAAAAATAAAAACCAAATTTAATATCATAAATTTTATTATACACTTGCTTCTTTTTTGAATCTGGAATATCACTGTTATCTAGCGATGAAATTTTATCGATAATATGTGGACTTGGTGATTTGCTTTTTGTTTCAATTGAATTACGTAAAATAGATCCATTTTTATTATCTAAAGCAAGAATTTTTAAAGAATATGAAAATTAATGGCTGATTAATGGTAAAAATGGTAAATATTAAGCAAATTAACAATGACTGGATGAAATCATACTTAATTTCGTTAACTGATTTCATTCACTTTAGTTTACTGGCATACTTGGTGAAATTTTTAATGTAATTTTTTGCTAAGCTTGTTCTGCTTAGTCTCTCTTTTTTGCAAAGCTATTCTACCTTTTTCTTTGTTCAATTTAATTTCATTGCCGAGTTTTAACAATGCTTCAACCGTAAATTGTCTTTGGCCATTCATTGCATTTTCACCTAAATTCGCCAAAGTTACTTCAGTTTAAATTGGTAGTTAATTAGGTTTTAGTTATTTGCACGATTATATTAGTTTTAGTTGATTTATGGTAAATTAAAAGTTGAATAAACAATGTACTACTTTTATACAATGAAGAAAAAAGCCACATAGATACATCACTTTATAAGTCTTAAAATAAACCTTAGGGAAGAGATAAAGACATGGCTTAAATCGCAATTAAGAAAAATACCAAACATGCTTTTTTTGAAAAAATCTAATTTTCTCAAGAAACTACTTTTGTTTTCGTTCTTTAAAAAAATTCATTATTTCTAAATTTGATACATAAGTATAACCACTAATGAGCAAGAAAAACTTACGATATTTTCGCAAAAGCTATCGGGTAAAACAAGCCATTTGTAGTCAAAAAAACTGTAGTGGTCAAAAAAATTGGGATAAAAATTTCTTCATAAAAACTTTCCTTTCAACAATCAAAAGGCAATGATCATCAATCAATCTTATGCAATAGCTATGCAATCCAACAGCTTTATCAAAATCAAACAATTTACGATTATTCTTTTTTTCGAATCGCTAAGACAGCATTACAGTTAAACTTCCAGCCAGAAAATCTATAAAGAACGAATTTTTCAGGTCGCTTACTATTTAAGTTTGAGAAACATTTCCTCTTGATTCTTTTTGAAGCAGTTTTCATGAAAGCTTACAATGAATTGAATTTTCACAAAAAAGAATGGAACTTTCGCATAAGATTGCCCAAATAGTTAAATACTATATTTAATGGCAAAATTTGACAAGGATCTGATTTTAAATAGTGGTGAAAAACGGGGACTAAAGGAAACCAGTATCATCATCAGTTCTCAAAATAATTTTGTGATGTCAAAATGGTTAAAGTAAGTATTATTGCAGCTCGGGCTGAAAAATTTGATTGGCTTAATAAAACTCATTAAGCACCAGTGCTCCGCCTTTTCATATAAAGCTTGCCTTCAGCATCTTCTTGTTCTCGTTTAAATATTTTCATACTTTTACTTTTTACTTTTTTGTTATCATTTAAATAATTTTTATTCGTTTATCAAGAAGGAGTGATAAATTATTAGATGTTTGCAATGATGATAACGAGAACGAAAAAAAAAAAACTTGAGTGGAACTTGTTTTATCTCGTTTTTGATTTCAAGTAACTCACATTTTTAGCAAATATTAGATAGAAATCATTTCCATTAGAAATTTACTTCGCAAATTGGACGCAGCACGGTCGAACGAGATTTTGTTTCGAGGTCAAGCCATTGTATTCCCTCGACATATGAAATCAAAAATCCAAAATAAAAATCCAAACATAATTTTCTGAATTATCCAACAAGACAGCTAACAATTTAGTAAAATATGTGTGAAAGTTGTGAAGGTTGAAAATTACAGTTTGAGACGATCTTTTTTGAAGAATTAAGAAATTTGCAATATTTTGCTTATCTCACTCTTATTATGAAAAATTTAATAAGTTCGATTCAAGCATCATTAACTTCGAGATAGATGCGCTTAACAACACCACACAGATTTTTATAACTGATTTTCATATGTCAGGGGAATTCTTTGAAGCATTAAATAAGTGGCATTTTTCTTGTTATAGCGTAATATTGATGAAAATTATAAAAATTATATTGATGAAAATTGAACGTTGGCTCGAATTTCGTTCTCGCAATTCATTATAAAAATTGCTTGCCATTTTCGTATTGGTTTAGTGACTTCGATTCTTCTATTTCTAAACATTTCTGGTTTGGATAGCACCACTGGTTACCAATGGTAAACCAATGATAAGCGGAGAATATAAGTATGTTCTCAGCAGTAGCCACATTTCATTTTTAATGGCTTCACATGCCAAGAGTCAGAAATAGGAATTATGATGGCTTCACATTAATCAAGGAGAGCGGTAATCAAGGAAGTACTTCCCAGCACTTTGTTTGCAAATGAGTGATACGATATTCTTTTAAAGTATAGTTCTGTATTAAGTTCATTAGTAACTGGTTAGAATAGAATTAAAAAAACTTATGCTTAGGCCAATACCCAAAACAATAACTTTTAGTTGCTTGGGATGTTCGATATTCGATATTGTCTATTTAATTAGTAAGCCCCATCTTCAATGGATTCACGGTTGTAAAAATCTTGCTTTAGGCCGGCAACAATTCTGCCGCTCTTATACAATATATACAATAAGAAAGAAATGTGGATAAATTTAGCTGAAGTATCACAAGGAAATAAAACGAGGCGATCTGGTTAGATATTTAATTAAGCTCAGTAGTTTCATAACAATTTAGCTTCATCTTCATTGAAGGAATCTTCACTGCAATAATCTCTTGAAAGAACTTCATTGAAATAAATTATCAAACATGCTGAATAAATTGTTATTATGTAATGTTAATATAAAATTTTGCACAATTGTTTTTCTAAAATTAATATCATTTAATGCTAAATATTTTATGTTAAATAAAACTGATGATATAACTGATGATTTATTTAAAATTTTCTGAATGATTTCCAGCTGTATTAGAAGAAGATGATCGAATAAGATATGCTTCGACTCAGGACAAACTATCATAGGCTCGAGTTTCTCCCTTTAATGTTAAATTCTGCTGTAAAAATGAAGTCCAGGAGGTTCTGGAGGATCATCTGGCGAAACGGTCTAAATTTACTAATCAATGAATAATGAGGTCAGTTTACAAGAAAGGACTGAACTTTTATATGGCCTCTTATATCAGTGTACACCAAAACTGCAAATAGCCCATATAAATCTAAATTCAGAATTTCCAAAATAATCTATATGAATAGTTGTAAAAGGCAAATAAAATAGCTATCGAGAAAACTGTGGTCCAAAGTTTTTTGGAAGAAAGCGTGCATTTTAAGACATATTATTAGAGAACTATAATACCAAGAAGAAACCGTCTTTATCAACTGAGATTGATGAAGAGTTGGTATAGTTTACGAGATATTCTGCACTTCAGTAGCTATTTACTAAAGAAAAATTCTATAGATTCTTAGATGGTTCTTTGATTGCAACTGCCATAATTCCCTACTATAATTAAAGAACAAAGATAGTGCACCTCCGGTCCAAAAATAAATTCTCATCAAATAATTTCATCCATTTCCACGGAGATTATTGTCACTCCATTTTCCTCAATTTCATAACTTAAAATCTTATTGTTATAAAATTGTATGGTATTGCTCAGATTAAAATAAATCTGTCATTAAAAAGTACAAATAATGTTAGAGATCGCTGTATGCTGATATTCATTTATTGCGCCTAGAAAAATATCATTCTATTATAAAATATTCCAATGATATCAATGTAGTCTGTTTAATCGTCGTCTTCTACCAAAAGATAACGGTTATCATTTCTTCCTTTCTTTAGACGTTTACGATTGCCTAAGTCGATCTAAATAAATCATTTCACAAGTTTGAATGATTTCAGAATTTTCGTTAGTTATTTCATTGTTATAAAATATATTTTTCATTCATTTATAAAATAAAATTACCTTCTTTTTTATAGTTTTATTCATTTCATTGGAAAGTATATTCTTATCAATTTTATCGAACGTCGAGCTCACCAACTGATTATTTCTTGTCAATCTACCTTTATTTTTCTGATATACTTCCATTTCATTCATGGTTGTAGCATCACAACTTTTAGTCACCGTAAGCTTATTGCGAAATATATTCGAAATCTGTAATTCTATCAATTTTTTTCACATGAAAAAGAAATATACGTAAATAAAAAATAGGCACTATAGCTAATTTCAATGAAATTTTTCTTTGATCTCCCATTATTCAAGTTCGAACCCTGCCCCAAGTAGGGTAAACCTCTCAGCAACTAGACAAAATATCCATGAATTTAAGTTAAGCACTTTTGCGAACAGCTTATGCAAAAGTACATCGTTTTAGAAATATTAATTTTTACTTGAAATCATTGCTAAATATTACTTTCTAAGAGGTCTATGCGAATGTGAATTATTCATTTACTATTTTTCTTTGGAAAAATTAAGGTAGACCTTCTGCAATGATTTTTGTCTTCCAATATAATTATATTCACTGAGATCGCCTGAACTTAAAGTTTTACATAATTCATAATTTTTCAATCGCCAATTTAATTTATCGTTATTAATGTGCTTTTTCACTGAGTTCTCTTTCATGTTTCCAGAGACAACTAAGTCAATACCTTGGTGCAAAGAATATCTAAAACTGATTATTGCATGAATTGTTAAATAAACATGAAATATTATTGTGGCATTTCTAAACTGAGCAGTGAAACGACCCAAATTGCTGTCTAAAAAGATTTCTACAAAGAATTCAGTATAATTATGAGACCAATTGAATCATATATAAATTTATGAAATATAAAATCAGTTTTATTTTATTTTAAAGTGATCGCAGCTAGTTCGATTAGCACTACATTTTTTGTAAGGATTCAAATGCATAATTATGAAAGAAAATTTCGAAAAATTTCTCAAATTGCAAAATTTTTAAAAGTATCTGAAATATTTACCACTCAAATTATCTATCAGTGGTAGTTTTGTGGTTATTACTTAGATTTTAAGATATTAAGATGTATAATAGAAAGCAAAAAATGAAGAGTAGACATGTTATTAAGAGATGCATGAGAAATTGCTGATGACATCTGTACGAATAAATTAAACTTTTCTTATGGTAGGTCGCATACAATTAATTGATAAGGCAGTACCTATAAAAATAATACTTATGCCTATAAAAATCACCAATCTCCTTTGCAATTCGATTTGTAGTTTCTCGAAAATTTAAAAAGGCACGATTAATTTTGCGCGATTTCCTTTTTTTCTGACTTTTTTTTATGTTCCATTTGTTACACATAAATAAATTGGATTTGGCTTCAAGTCCAGATCCTTATATCATGAGAATAAAGAAATTCTTATATTATTGCTACTCTGGGAAAAAATTATGCTAAATAACTAGAATTGCCCGCCGGTTTCTCTTAATGAGAATACAGTACATCTGTATATGCAAAATAATATAAACTTTGGTGAGGCACAGGAAAAACAATTGCTTTCGCTGATACTTCAGCTTTAACAAAAATATTTTGAATAAAAATATTGCTCAATTGAAATTTTGCATTAAAATTTTTTTAAAATTTTATATTAAAATTCTTAAAAGTTCTGTTGATTTAGTTCTTTCAAATACATAGAAGAGGTTTAGATCAAAACTCGTTCTCTAAAGGAACTAAAAAATACCTTCATATTTTTTAGTAAAATGATAACTTACTCTTCAAAATTAGGATTTAATCCAGATTCAGTCGCATCATCAATTAAGTCTTTCACTAGTCTTTCAGGAGTCATTAAACTTTGTTTTGACGACTGTCGTTGTCTGGACGACCGATTCGATAAATTGAACGAAGCGATTCTTAATATTTTTTCCATGTTAATGTAAACTCACGTTGAACATCATTGGTAAATTCCAATTCTGAAATTATGTTTGTCAAAAGAACAAAATAATTAGAGATGAAAGCTGAAGACAAGTTAAATGTTAAAAGAAAATAAAAAAATTTAGCAATAATATAATATTATGCAAATATGGTTTTTCGTTAAGGTTCATCATTTCTAATTGCTAGCTGGTACAAAAATTTTGCCAAGGAGCCAACTGACAATAGAAGTACAGCTTGTAATCTAATCACCACACGAATTTTTTGATAACAGATGGGCTCTTTCTCAACACGATAATCTGACCCGACCACTTTATTATGATAACGCATTTAAGATCTTGATGATTATTCTATGATAAATTAATTATAAATGAAGTGAGGTTATTATTGAGAGAAACTGATTAATTTTGGAAATCGGTATACTAAATGACATTTTCAAAACTAGTTTAGATACCAGATCATTGAAACCAATTCAAATCCAGATCAAGGTCACAAACTTTTATATGAAATCGTTTATTCCACTAAATTATTTATTTATTAGCAATTCATCGTTCAGAAAAACTAAATTTATTGTTATTGAATCCACGATACTTTTTTTATTATGGCGTCATTTCACCATTTAATAAATAAGTTAATTCATGGCTTTCTTTAGTTTTACACTATAAAAAATCTGCCATAATTTTTGTAACTTAATAAATGCCATTTTTATGTTTAAATGGCCTCAACAAGAAGTCTAAACTAGATTTTTAAAATTTTTATCAGAATTCTCCATAGATGCTGTCACGGATAAATTAGATTTTTCGTCCGTAAATTTTGCCCATTTTTGGCCTATTTAATTGTTATGAATAAATTTATAATATATTCTTAGAATTGAAAATTCATTATTTCCTAATTTTGCTTTCATACTTTCCTTGGTTTAAATCGAAGAGGAACAAGCAAAAATTGTCACTATTTATCAATTCTCAAATACCGATTGCAAATTAGTTAAGTGCGCATTTTTTTTTAAGCCTTAAAAAGAAACTTTCTTTTTCCTTTTTTTAAAGATAATTTTGTATTTAAAAATTACAATACTTTTTATTAACTCTCTAAACTGCATTGAGATTTTTGTTTCTAATTATTCATTCAATAATATTAATAATTTTAATTAATATTTAATATTCAATATTAAAGTGAAGTAAAAACAATTAAAGTAAAAACAACAAAATTTGCAGAACATAGCATGCTTACAGTTTCATAGAAATTTTAAAAAATCTAATAATATAAAAAATAATATTAATATGAAAAACGGCTGTTGAGGGGAAAACCGAAGGTCATCCTGAAAACCGTCACTGTAATAAAGTTCTATTGGAAGTTTACAACTGAATGTCAAAGATGATTGGATGGTTTAAATTGCATGATATTCTCCATATTGTTTACAGCGATAATCTATTTTTTTCTTGATTTCTTAGCAGATTAATGGTCAAATTAAAAATTGATAATCGAATGACAATAGATCTGAGAAGAAAATGAATACTAGATGCTAAGCCTTGTGGCAATAATAATAGTAGTAATAATAATAAAAATACATGCGCAGTTGAGAAAGCTTCTAATTCCTTGCAACGCCTGATGAAAAATAAAGGACGTTGAAAAGAAGATAAATTACTTGAATTTTCGAGAATATTTCAATGTATTTCCCTGTTTAGAACAATGATTTAAACGAATTTTTCAAAATACTTTTTATCATTGTTCCACTTTAAATAATTTTGGCAGATTTCGTGCATTTTTTACAATAAATGAAAAAGAAAGCAAATGTAACAAATATGATATCGTAAAGGAACGGAACTAAACCGCGAAATTGTCGGATGTTCTCATTACTTTTAATTTCTACTGCTTTTTCTCATTAAAAGAACGAAATTTTGTTCAAAAAAGTCACTCGGAAGACGATAACGACATTGAATGGACACGCAAAAATATATATTAAAATTAAGGTTTTAGACAGAGGAAAAATGGTACAAATATGAAACGAGTTGATTGATCAACTAATTATAAAAGTTAAATATTTAGAAAATGAACCAAAAATATTGTGCTAAAAAATAAGCATTTTAATATGTCGATAATTCATCTTATGTTTACCAGTATAAATGATAAATTATTATATTTAGTTATAGTTGTTTTAATGTAAACTTAAAGAGCTTAAAAAATTTCTATGAAAAACCAAGCAAAATGGCTATAGTTCGAATAAAATATCTAAATTCTTATTTCTGCCGAAAATAAACCAGTTTTAAAGGAATTTTTTAAGAAATGCGAATGGTGCCTAAGGTGTGTTTGGTATATATCCAAGTAACTTTCGAGTAAGGTGAAATTATTCTATTGAAGACCAATGAAGAGAGAAATAATCAGAAACGATGAGCTATAACCACATATTCACTTTAAAAAGTGTAAAAAGATAGATGAAATGAACAGCAATAATTTTTGATCGATTAAAAGAGGAGTAATTATTACAGTTAAATATTTACTTTTTCCGTCATTAGGGATCAATTCCTTAGCTCGAAGTCAGGTTTTATTCTACTCTATTTGCAATAGTTCAAAAGTAAACATCGCTCCTCATTTCTGTTCCATTCATTCTCGATTTAAAAATATAGGGTAAAGTCTCAGGCAAAAATGAATTAAATTAGCGCTTCATTCTTATAGTTTTAAATTGTTTAGTCATTTATTGAATCCAATTAACTAATTTTTCGAAATTCAATAAACAGCTACAGAAATGATCTTTTAAATAGTCAAACTTTTAAGTAAAGATATATAATATAAGTAATACTTTTTAATTTTTTGCATTAAATTTTCTTAAAAAATTTCGAAAATTGGAAATTTAAAAATTTTTCAAAATGAAAAGGTTGTAACCTCACAAGTTTATCGATTTTGAATAACTGACAAGCATACTGTTGGTTAATATATAAAAATTTATGAAATTTACCCGATTAAATATTTATTCTATAATTATGGAATTAAAGTCGATCAAAAAATATTCCAAATGAAAATATTATGCAATGAAAATGAATGTTCTTCTTTTTCCTTTCTCCAACTATTATTGCAACCAATTAATCAGCTGCAATACAAAAAAAATTTCTGTTTTATGGAGGCAATGGGCGGCAAATTAATGAACGAATAAGTAAGTTAGTATAGCAGACTGAATTATGTACCACGAGATTAAGCGATAAAAATGATTCATGTGAGACAATCGTTGTTGTAAAAATTAAATCAACACAGAGGATAAGAGTATTTTTAAAAATTTTCAAAGCAATATTATTATGATACAATTGCTTCGAAGCGAGAAAAGCTCCATACATTGTTTAGAGACAAATTTTTTAAGTCAAATATAGAGATATAGAGATTGACGAACCAAAAATTATGCAACCGGTTTTGTAAAAAATTCAACAGCACTATCCATTGTATATTTAATTTATTTGCAATTTAAAAACATTGTATTTGAAAATTTTTAATAAAAATTGAACGAACTGTTGCATTGTTGATTTGAAATTAAGCGCAAATAAATCCGAAATCTTTTTTTCTTGGGTTCTCTTGGATGGAGCTATTAATTAACGGCTTAATAAAAGCATATAAATAAATTTTTCAGTTGTCAGATTTACAATTCAGAATTACATAAAAACAAGAATAATAAGAATATTTAGAAATGTTATTGTAGAATAACCAAAAGAATTTTCGTTATTTTCTTGGAGAATTTGTCGTTTTTGAAGGGTAAACTTGTCAATAAAAAGTTTTGGAAATGAATAAAATGAAATAAAACAAAAAGTATAAGCGAAATTTGGGTAATGCTGGCGACCCATCTATGCTGCAGTCTCCAAGTGACTTTTTAGCAAGGTATTCTGGATGTTATAAACAATAGAGTTCGCCAAACCAGAAATAGTGATTACTGTCAGAAAAAAAAGTCATTCTTTAAAAAATATAAGAAGCTTCGCTAACAGTCCAATTTACAAGTTGAAAAAAGGTTTTATATAATCCTCTCACGAAATAGAAAGTACCATAAAGGATGCTAATTCAAAAACGAAGGATATAAAATCTTGAGAATATGAATATGTGATTTCCCAAATGAAAATGAAATTTTCGTGGATCTTTTATCCGAAAACTATTTCTTCTACGAATATAACTAAAGAAAGGCATTAATTTACAAATCAAAAATTCAAATCGTAATTTCTAGCTTAAAAAGAATCTCACGTTATAACGTTTCATATTCCATTTCACTTTATGTTTGCTATTTATTGACTTTTAAGAATTGAAAAAAACGAATTCGCCTGCATCTCCAACTATAATATTTGTAATTATTTAATTCGTTAACCACAGTAAATTTTAATTCAATTAGCACCATTTTCTTACTCATATAAGACTTTTCTTAGTTCTCTTCTCTTCTTTTTGCCATTTTCGATAGAAGTGGAGCATGAAAGGAACAAACCTTATTCTAGCCAGCCATAACCAGCCTATTTTTCATTTTCCCGATTCTTAAGACTGATTTCAGAAAGCTTAGCAATAACAAGAGCAATAAGTTAATTTATTATGCACTTGTATTTTGATTATATTGCATCAAATTCAACACAATATTAAAATTTTCTGACTGCAGTTTTATATTTCCAGATTTTTTCGTTGAGTACAAAAAATTTTAAGGAATTTTATGATAGATAATATTGTGCCAGAAAACATGTTTGTAGTTTTGATTTTTTTTTCATTTTTCATTTGTTGTGTCCTTGAAGATACGATCTTAGAAAAAATTCGATGTTTTGCAACGATGTTTAGTTTTTATATTTGCCAATAAATTTTTCTTTTAAACTAATTGGCATTGGAGTTTAAATTTGAATATTATTTGTTAACTGCCTGAATTGAGTATTTCTATCACTATGGCTGAGTGATACACTTGCTTTTATACTTAATATACTTTTATACTTTAATATATATATTTATATTATATATATAATAATAAATATTTTATACCTATATATAATATATAATTATTGTATATATATATATTTATATATATTATATATATAATATATATATTTATGTATAATAATAAATAATATAATAAATAATATAATAAATATATATAATAATAGTATAATAAATATAATATAATAAATATATATATAATATAATAATAATTAATAACATAATAAATATATATATAATATATATTTATAATATACTTTAATATTTATATTTCTTCTTTCTTATATATTTATATCTTTATATGTTTCTGTTTTATTTGATTTTCTGATTGTTTTCTTCGGAATTTTGTATTGCGGGAAATATAAGTAATTTTTCAAAATATCTTATTAATTTCTCCAGTAGCATATTCATATAATATGAGATACTCATGTTTTAAAGCTATAAAACTATGCATCTTCAATTGATTTTACTATATTTGCTCCATAAGAGATTGCTCCATCAGAAAAATTGTAGATGAGGATATGAGGACATGCGTAATTCCACTAATTTCTAAAGAGATTGTGAGGCTGCCTATATCTCTTATGCAAGGATAAGAATTTTGAAGAATTCGTGAAATTCGTGAAATATTCTTGTGCTTTATATGTTGTTTCGAAGCTAATTTGCGATTGATTTTGCCTTTATAGTCTTTTGAATTTTGCATATTTCGTAATGTCGATTTTATTTTATTATTAAATTTATTTAGTGTTTTTTACAAGTTTATTTCTAGTTAGGTTCGCTCCGCTGGCTTATTAGACCAGAGAAGTTTTGCCAATAAACCAAGTGGAAATAGAAATGCAGGTAGGTTGTCAGCACCACCACGTGAATTTAATGAATTGGTGCAACTTATTATTTTGTAAATCGGTATTTTCAGGAATTTAAGAAATTGGCATGTCGAAATCCTAGGATTCATTATTTACTTTTTTCTAATTTTCACATTTATGTACTTCATTTTCTTCAAATTTTCAGATAGTTAAATGGAAAAAAATCTATTTTATTGTGTATTTTATTGTATATGTCACATTATTTCCCCTTTTTTGTGTTAGTTACAATTTTTTTCATTTTTTGCCATTTTTTGTTTCGTTTTTCTTTTTAACTTTTACACTGATTACACTGATTCGTTCGATATTTACATGAGTAATATTTAAATGAATTTTAGTCCTTAAAAAATGAATCAATGGATGGAAAATAATTTTTTGCTATTTTAAATGCCTCCCAGTTCAAATTTTCATGAGAACTAAGCAGTTACGGTTTATCATTCTTTTTAGCAAGTGAATCAATTTCAATTTAGTTATTTAACAGTCGATTTTGGGATTAATTAAATTACATTCGGTGGTGACTAATTGAATAGATTATTCTGGCCTTCTTGTTTCTGCAGTTTTTTATAATTGTAGGATACCATCAGCCGGCAACCGGCTGACTGCAAGCCACCACCAAGAAATATTTTGGATCACCTTCCTTATCATTTAATGAAACGGATTCAGATTATATGGAATAACTATGAAAATTCATCCGATTGTACAAGTCAGATTTCTTTAACCCGGTAACCAATTTGATCAAATGACGAAATCTTAGCTTGTGGAATTGAATAATGCTTTATTTATTCCATGCGATACGTTTGGTTGATTCCAACCATGTTGTCCAAGAAGCCCGCGATTTAGCTTTAATGTTTATAATCTAATTTTTTTAAGCTTAAAAATCAAATTTTTAAAATCAGTGTCGCACTTCATCCTTCGCATTTGTTGCGGAGAAATTATGATAAAAATGTCGAAAAAATCCATAGGCGTCTTCTTTCAGCAAAAAATAGAACTAGTTTACTTGGCGGAAGTTTTTTCGATAGTTTTTTTCATAAATATTATTGCGCACTTTTCGCTGAAATGGAATCATAAAAAATAAACTTATGAGACTTTATAAAAATTGCAAAAAAAAAGAAGAAAACTCAAAAATTGTCGTAGGTTGTAATTGTAAAGAAAGAAGATGAAAGATTTTATAAGATTTTAAATAAAAATTTTATTTATGTTTATTTTAAATTACATTTTGATGAAAAAATTGTAGAAATGTCTTATTCGACGCTATATCGTATCGGCGACGAGTTTTTTCAAAATTTGAACAACAAGCGTCGAAAAATTGTCGACCACCTCTATTTGTTCGCGGTTTGCCACTAAATACTCAGAAAAAAATCATCAATATCTGGAAGAGTTATGATTTCAACAGCAAGAATTGTACATTACAAAGGCGTAAGCAAAGGTTTATTGTAGATAAAAATTTAAAATTCTAAAATTTTTTGAAATAAATTTGAGAGACTACGAAGAAATTTGGCTGAAAGTCATAGGATTCTTCGTAAGATAATCAATTTTTAATATAATAAATTTTTTTTCAAATTAAAAATTCAAAATTTGCTGAATATCATATAAATAGTAAGACATAAATAGACTTAGTAGATCTTGGATAGTTTTTACTTCCTCATGATTTAATTTATGCACGTGCAGTTTTCCTCAGGCTTATTTCTAATCACATTTATTTATAGGTTGGTTTTATTAAATCAGCCAAGAAATCTTTATAATTTGCTGGTTCCTCCTCGTGTTCCCTGCGGCCTTCCTCACTTCATCGAGCGATTAACTGATTATCTACAGGAAGAAATCAGACTAATATGGTTGAATTACGCTCCTGGAGAGCCATGCTTTAGAGTAATGCTTGTTTTTTTTACCAACATATTTTATTTTAATTATTATTTACATTATTTTATATCTTTTATTTACATTATTCAAAACTATTCTAAAATGCTATTCTGTTCTAAAACTGTTCTTAAAATGGATAGGAACAGTTCCCATTTCTTAAAATTTGAAAGAATTTATTTTAGAATTCATTAATGTATCCATCGATAGGCAAATTTTTCGAGGATTTTGTAGCTTTTTTTTCGTAATAAAGCATTAATCCGCATAAAGCATTAAAGTATTAATATGAACAGATTTACCAAAACTGTGGCATTATTGACTGCAATTTTTCAGGAACTCGATGATGAACTGAATCTTTTGCAAAAGAATGGCATTGCGATCGAATCGTTTTTTATTCCCCCACCTAATTCATTGAAACGATCTGATTTATATACCAAAATTTTTCATCCTAATTTGCCATCATAAATAAAGTTGTTAGTTTGCGAGAAATTATATTGCAACAATTTTTCTCATAAGTTTATATTACCATTTTTTCAGTCTAAAATATTTAATAAATGTGAATCGTTAAAAGTTGAAATGCAAATCAAATCAACAAATAATAGCAAAGGTTTGAATGATTCAACGACTCCTTAAAAAATTTTGGCAATGCAGATGCTCAAAGATCGCAAAGCAATAATATCTCTCTTAAATTTTTAATCATTTTAACGCAAAAAAATTCTTTAAGAAAGTCTGTGCAATCACAGCTGAATTCTTTTTTTATTCGACAATCTCATAGGCGATTGGCTGTTAATGATTTTCTTTATAAATTCAAACCTTTGCTATTATTCTTCTGTAACAATTTACTGAGCATAAATCCAGAACTCATTAAACTTTTATGCAACAAGTTTCATTCCAATTTTTCATAAAAAATCAGTTGTTGCTCTAATCATCAACAAAGTTTTCCATCTGATCGATATTTTAAAACATGTTTAATTTTCGCTTTGTTCATACAATAACAATAAACGGCCAACCGGCATTGAGGAAACGCAGAAAGGCATGAACAATTAATAATAATAATTAATTGCTAACAATTAATTGCTCATTTAAATCAGTTTATGCATTTTTGGATTTTTTTTGCGTTCATTTTCCAACAAAATCATAAAATCTTCTAAAATATTCCTTTCGCTTTCTTTTAACTATTTTTATTTGGAAGAAATTTAAAATAAATGTTTTTTGGTAGTTGAAAGAATTTTCGATTTTTTATATGAAGGAAAAGTGGTTTTTAATTTTTTAAAAAGAGCCTTCTATTGGAATTAACGCTAATACATAAGCCTACGAAAGTTTATGTTTAATAATTAATATTTTCATTAGATTTAGCTTTTCGTAGATTGCTGAGAATTTCTGAAGAATCGAAAGCAGCGAATTTTTTTACTATGATCAAATGGAATTAAGATCGAATTTAGCAACAATTCTACTTATTATTCTATCGACAAAGTGCCAAAATTCATTAACTTTTTATCGAATGCAAAGCGTTGGAGTGAGTGGAATTCTATATTGCGGCCAATGGCCTCTTTCAGGAGTAGAAGTTGCATTAATAGATGATGACGGTGAGTAGCTCGAAATATTACTGGTTTTGATTACTGGTTCCAGCTTAAATGCAAAAAAAATGCAAGAAGAAAGGGAAAATGATGCATAGACCCTGATAATAGGGCAATATAATGCATAAACAATTTATGAACAATTTCCGGTATTAACTGGAATCCATTGTAGACATTTTCTTAAAAAAATTAAGCATTCCTTATTCCACAGTTCGACCAAAGTAATGTGTATGAATACGATGAAAATTATGTTTAACGGATTCTCAGGCCCACTCCCCAAATGACTGGTAAAAATTTCTCATCGTAAAATTTCTCATCGCATTCAATGGAGCTATCCTATCAGGCATAGCACTACAAATAGCTTTTTTACCACTCCCTATCTGCTGTATTTCTAAAGATATTGCTGTTATTACTTATTGACCACGCTCACCAGAATAATCAGTGGATTTCGAAGAATGATCAAGTTCTTTGTCGATATAAAAATATGGAAATCTTATATTTGATCTTAATCTTATATTAATTCTTTTTAATGGAAATTCATTGATTTCTTGTCACTTTATCTAGAATAAATAGGACAACAACCTAAAATGGCTCACCGAATCATATAGGTGATCATATACTAAATAAATAAAAAATCTATGAAATCATTCCCTCATTTCTTTTTAATTGAAGCTATAAAGATATTACGTCAATTTCTTATTTGTTATCGCTGACATTTAGAACCGGATCCTGCCGACTTAATGGATTTTGGACATACAGCTGATAATGGATCGTTTTTTCTTCAAGGCTATGAAACTGAATTTTCAATTATTGATCCAGTGTTAACAATAAATCATAGATGCAATGATGGAGGAATAGTAAGAATATTTATAACTATATAACGATAAATACAAATCTCGCTTGATAAAAATAAAATTTCGTTTCAAAAGCTTATGTATTTTTCCAAAAATATGTATTTTATAAAATCAGACAAATCTTTTAATATTTTTTTAAGGACAAAATGTAAGATATTTGCAGAAAAATGAAAATTGAAAAAATTTCCATTTTTATAAATAACTTTTGCAGCCTTGTGAGCGAAAATGGTGGATAACGGTTCCAAAAAAATATATCACGATAGGACAAAAGATTCCAGAAAAAATTATGAACCTTGGAAGAATTAATACCGAATTAAAAATCGTAGGCGAAACGAGAGACTGTTTGCACTAATTTGTCATACAGAAAGAAAGACAATATGAAACTTTAATGAATTGTCATTATTTTTGTAAATCACGAATAAATTTTTTATGGAGTTGTAGAGAATTTTGATGTTTTATGATGTATCAGTTTTTTGCAAATAAAAATTGTGGATTTTAAAGGATGGGAATAGTATTTACAAATTTTGCGAATTTAAGTCTAGAAAATTAAAATAGGCCGAAAATCCCAGTAAAAACATTGCTTTTTAAAAATTTAAGAAGAAAATCTATTGACAAAGTTTTTGCAAAATTTGTATACAGTGGGTCTCCGCAAAAAAAAGTATGTATACATACCGTAATCTGTCTTTCCCCTAGTACAAGCCATAGTTTTACTCATTTTTCCTCTAACAGTTTGCTCACCGCTCGGTTAGTTGGCTTCTCTGGTTATAAACTAAGACATTTCCAGGCTTCTAAGTCTTTTTAAAAATAATAAAAACTAATCATTCCTTTTTCCCGCCATATATCTTGGTGCATGAAATCTTGTTTCTTGTTGGACTAGGTCGCTATTGATTTTTTCTTTGACGCAATCCATTATAAGTTTTAACAAGTAAAAAAACCAATTCCTGCGATAGAAAGAGAGGATATATAGCTTCGCAGACACTCTACGACGATATTTTTTCCACTAATCCTTCCAATACCCTCTTCCTGATCATGCCTATTCCCTAATAGTTTATTCATTTTAAGGTGGCAGAAATTGAATGTCAACCTTCATTTAGGAATATCGCCTACAGAAAATTTTATTAAAATCTAATTTTAAAAAACAGGCAAATTTCAAAACATTGTCAGAATTAATATTATTATTTGTGCTTGCATCTTCGAAAATCGTTCAGTGTAAATATTTTACATTATTTCATTGATCCATTTTTCAATATATTTCATTTGGTAAATTATTAAACCATTCCGTTATTATCCAACTTTTTTTAAGGAGAAAAAGGTAAGAAAATGAAATGAATTTGATCGCTAGAATTATTCATTATTCATCAAAAAAAATATAGTCAAAATATTTTTTAAAAACAGTCTAAAAAAAAGTTCGAAAAAAGATATTTTGATTTTTGATGAATATGATTCTTGAGAAAATGAAAATTCATTTATATAGTTTATATTTCATTATTCACATTCAAATTCTCCTCGTTATAAACTATTCGTGTCTGATAATAACGTTGTTGCTGGCATCCATTGTTTATGCAAAATTTTGTGCTGGTTTTAAATTTCCTCTGTTGAATCAAATTTAGTAATCTCATAATGATTGGCAAGTACGAAGCCATATTATCTAAACAAAGTATTTAGGATTAGGAATGGTTAATTTATTTAATAAAATTCTCTACTCTTGAATTTCGAAAGTTTTATTTTTCTTTAGATGAAGGGCCAAGCATTAGGGCTATTGGTAATCTTCAATTGTATTTTGTCTCTTGCGACTGCATTTCGATCGCAAAGTGTTTGGGCAACTGGTAAATTGCTTTGTGGTACTAAGCCAGCAAGCTCAGTTTATGTCAAACTGGTCGATAAGGATCGTGGTTGGTTATTTCATGCTACAATGGATATTATGAAAAATAGTTTCTCTTTTCCTATATAAGAAATAAAGCCAGAGTTGCATAAGAATTTCTTAAATATAAAGAAAGAAAGAAAGAGAATAAATAAATAAATAAATAAATAATAAATAAAGAATAAATAAATAAATAAATAATTAATTTTATTATATTAATTAATGGCATAAATCACATATTACTTATATATACTTCTAATTTAGTATCTAGTATATGGGGATTGAATTGTTCAGTGGGTTGTTGCGCACCGTTTGGGGCGCCGATGCCAGAAACTTGTACAGAAATCCGGGTGATGCTGGCGACTCATCTGCATTTCTGTCGCCAAGGGATTCCCTGGTATATTTGTACAAGTGAAGACTTTTAAAAAACGAAATTTAGTGAAAATTTAGTGAAAAAAAAGAAATAGAAATTAACAAATTAACTACCTTACATTTTTTGATATTTCGATCATTTTATATTTTTTTTCAGCTCCAAATCCTGACGACCTACTCGATTCCAGCAATACCAATGCTACTGGTCATTTTAATTTAATGGGTGATTCTATTGAAATGAGCGATATTGATCCAGAGATCCGAATTTATCATGATTGTAACGACTACAACAAGGTACCTTTTAACAGATCTCATACTAGTTAGGCAGAGCTCCATTGGCTGCAAGGGTAAGATATCTCCAAGCTCTTCGGCGTGACGCCAATGCTAGTAGTAATAAAAGCTATTCCTTTTTCCATCGTCTAAATCCACATATCGCTGACTCCCCTATATGTTCAAAATCCTTTTCTGGCTATATCCTCTAGGTCTTGATTGCCCTTCTCGCTTTTTACGTCAAGCATCACATGGTTCGGCAAATATGCATCAATTCTTGTGGTAGATAACGAAGAATGTTCTAATCAGCTAAGGCAATGTTCCTTGATGATACAAATGGTATTTGAATGAAGATGGATGTGTTCATGTGATATTTTATTCGTTCAACGAACGAAACGTAAAATATACCTTATACAAGAATGGTCAAAGACTGATGACTTCTTGATATTTTCCACTCTCATTGGTCATGTTTCGAAGCAAGATCGAGTAAATTGCAGCTATATGGACGCGAATTTTCGTCCTTATGGTGATTTTGTGATGGTTTCATAAAAATTTTGTTAACCGGAAAAATGTATTTCTGGCTGCCGTTATCCAGGTTCAATTCCATCCTTTGCCTGGCTATTTGAGACTAAAGTTGTTTTAAGATATTTAAAGTTGGGCACTTTCTCAATCAGCAATGAACTGATAAAAATAAGTATTTTATTAGCTTTTTGTATACAAAAAATTTTCATTTCATTGATTTTAGTCTAATTCTCGCTGCAGTCATTCTTTAACATTATTTGCATTTCGACATAGCTGTCAGCAAAAAGGACTACATTATCAGCATATTCAAGGTCTCTATGATGCTATGCTCTGGACTGATTTGCACGCGTCTTGAATGCCGATAAGCGATACCCATTATCCAGTCTATTGCATAAGTACGCAGCCTTGACGGACACCAGTTTTTATTTCAAAAGGATCAGTCAGTTCTCCATACACACAGACCTGTGCCAGGGTATACAATATTGATAAAATGCCTTTATGAGCCGAATGATCTCTGGGATACTACATTCTATCACTTTCCAGAGCGCTGCTCTATCACTCGAATCGAAGGCGACTACATAATCGATAAAGCAAGTGACAGTTGCTGGTAATTGAAAAAAAAAAAGCGATTTTCCAGTACTCTTCTCAGCATAAATATCTGGTTAGCACAACCGCATCCCGGTCTGAATCCAGCTTAGAATGCATTCTGCTATCTCGTGTTCCTATGAGTCTATTATGAGTCTATTTACAGAAGGGAAATAAAAATTTTTCCGGAGATGCCTAGTAGGCTAATTTCTCGATCCCGTTTCCACTGACAGATTTCGAGCAGTTATTGTGGCTCGTAAACAAAACATATTCTTAAGCCTTGAGGTCGTTTGACTATGCACCCTTGATTGCATAGTTGTCGCATGTACCACCAGATCAGATCAGAGTATCATGGACGTCGTATCAAGAAGACCTTATCCTTTCACCATAGAATCACTTAGGTATAGGGTCACAAGTGGGTCCCCAGCAACCACTCGGATTATCATGGTAGGTTTAGTTCCATCAAAAACAAAATAAAATATGAAAATACCAACAAGGTATCGTGAAACTACTTTGATACTGACTCTAATAATATTGTCGAATATCAAAATTTACAGAAAAGGAAATTGTTAGTATGATTACCATTGAAATACGATATCTCTATATCTCTATGAATTTCCCTTTTATAGCAGCTTGAATATATCTTTTCTCTAAATATCTTTTTTCACAGAAGTATCCTTTTTTTAAATATCTTTTCCTAGAAATCTACGGTACAAAAATAAAGTGTAACCGACAGTTGTTATACACTGAAATAAAAAAGGTAAAAATAATTGTGATAAACACTTTTTCTTAAATTATAATTATTCAGCCGTGCCAGAGAGAATGGATAATACGGATTCCGGATAAATATATATTTGATGGGGATATTCCACAAAAGCCTTTCGATTTTGGGGTTCTAAATTTGGAAGTGGAACTTGAAAATGAATACAAAAAGTGCACTTGAATTATTGTGCTCCTTGGAAAATTTTTCATGTTTTTTTTAAAATTAATTTTCTAATTCATGTTTTTGTTGTCTAATAATATTTTGCATATTTTTTGTGAACTATTCGTTGATATTGAGTTGCGTTTGCATGTTTTTTATTATTAATGTTGAAATTTAGTCAAATGCAAATTGACGTAAATCTTGTTTTCGTTCTTAATTATATATTTAAAAAATATATATTTTTATTTCCAGTTTATTTGAGGTTATCTTTTTTTAAATAAGAATTGGAATATCGGTTAATTATCATTCTTGATATAAATATTTTTATTAATTTATCATCAAAAAATTGTTGAATGAATTAAAAATTTCAGGAATCGGCCATTCACATCTAATTTAGAATTTAATATAGAATTTGATAAAAAATATATAGATATGGAAAAATTGCTCTTTTAGGGAATCTACATTTTGTTACACTGAGATTATTAGGTCATCAATTAGGCGTATATTTAGCATACGATCAGAATTATCTTCTTCCTGAATCCTCTTATTTTCGAGCCATTGATTCATCAAACTATACAAATCAATTCAGATAAAATGGCCTCTAAGAATTATTTCAAAAGACTCCTATTTATCATAATATGCATTGCTATCATAAGTGTTGGAACAAATGATGAACAAGAAGTGCAAAGTTACCAGGTGATTTTTTGACTTCTATTCATTTCGACGGTTCCGGTTGATAGTGGTTTATTCCGAATCGAATTTTACTCACACTAATCAAATTTAAAGGTAGTGGGAACGTTGCTTTGTGGAACAGCTCCAGCCATTGGTGTTCGAGTAAAACTTGTTGATGATGATTTTGGTTCGTATTTCTACTGTAACCAAAAAGTTGTATTAGAAGAATATTAGAAGAATAGAGAACGGCACTAAGTCGTTTGTCAGTTCAACTCAAGGCAATATTTCGATTTTTATTCCTTTATTTTCTTTGATAGAAGCTTCCTGTATAAACAATCTCTATCATTAAGAATGAAATTCATATGTCCTGCTGGAGGCCTATCTTTGTATCCACCCTCAAACAATTTTTTAGTGAAAGGATCTTACCCTAAATCAAGAAGCCAGCCAAATTTCAAATGACATTTCATGTGCGATAAAAAATTTTCGGCAAAATGATGAATTGAAAAAATCAGGGTCTGATCCTGATGACGATCTCCATTCTGGTTACACGAACGAACAAGGACGTTTCGATTTGTCAGGCCAAACAACAGAATTCACAACGATCGATCCTCATTTGAAAATATATCACGACTGTAATGATGGAGTCACTGTAAGTTGTTCAAGTGGAAAATGAAATGTAATGCTACGATCTTTTTTTTGTTGCAATTTCAGGAGATTTCCGGAATAGAGGGCAATTTCTGCATTCGTGGGGCTTTTTTGCAATATTTTATGGAATAATCTATAGAATTATTTCTATATAGCGCCTGGGATTTAGGTAACTTTAGGATTTTTATTAACTATCATTATAATAAAAAATTTTTTGACAAAAATTACAAGTTTGAACCAGTGCAATAGTTGGCAAAAAGAAATCTTTATTTTATTTTATTTAGTTTGCTTAGAATAGTTCGTGTTAAGTCTGAATATTATGCATGTTGCAGCTCTTAAAAATACCAAATATTCGATAAAAGAAAAGTAGAAATGGTTTCAGTTTATTGTTGCAATGAAGTTATTTTAAGACGACTTTTTTGCTATATAAAGAAGGATCTATATTTCGCTAACAATAATGCTGAGAACGGTAGGAGATGTGAAAAGTTGTGGGAATAGCGGAGAGGATTCTGCATTCAGAGGGATTTTTCTTTGAAACTTCGTAGAATAATTCAATTGGGAGAGTAGAATGGTTCAGTGGGTTGTTGCTCAATTTGGAACACCGAAGTTCTATTCCTCGCAGGGGTAAACCTGTCCAAAAATTCTGGGTGATGCTGGCAACTCACCTGTACTTCTATCGCCGAGAGAATCCCAGGAACACCCTTCAGTACGGCAACCCAGCGGAGCGAGTCTAACCAGTAATGGTCAGGGATCTTAAAAAAAAAAGCAACACTTAATAAGCAACACTTTTTTATCTAGCCTTGTCAACGAAGGTGGAAATTTGAATTGCCACACCATTATATCACGAAAGGACGACGCAGACCATCCAAAGTTTTCGACATTGGCATATGGAACTTGGAAGCAATTCTTCCCGGTGAAAGCCATGACTGTATTCATTGAACCCATCAACGATTCAGTATTTCATTTATGCTTCATTTATATCTATTAGTGCGAAATGATATATCTTAGCCTATATCTTACCAATATAATCATGTATAGCATATCTGTTTCCAAGAACTGTCAACGATTAATGAAACGGTATTTATTGAGGTTTATTTTTTAAATGCAAAATAAATAAATGACAAATAGTAAAAAAAAAGAATAAATACACAACATTCAAACATCTTAATAATTAAAATATATGAAGGGTGGGTTCTAAAATTTTATTACTTCAGTTTCAATGCGATTATCAATGAAAATAAATGGAATATTTTGTTTTTTATAAAATATTTTACGAAAAATATGATTTCAAATAACTAAATTTTATGAAAATTTTAACATTTCGTAAACAAAATAAAATGAGCATATCACTAGTAACAATTCTAGAGATTTAAAAGAAAAATAGCTCAGTGGGATTTTTTCAAAAAAATCAACAAATTTTAGTGCGAAAAATTTCGAAATTACCAAAAAATTAAAAAATAATGCCATTAGCAAAAATGATCCAAAATTATGATCCCCGAAAGGTTTCATTCAAAACAAGATATCAGAATATTTCACAAAAATATATAAAACATTAGCACCAAAAAAGCATTAAATTACCAATTCGAAAATGAAAAATGAAAATGCAAGCCGTAAGTGCAACATATCAAACATGAATCCAACGACAACATTTTTTATATTCTTAAATAAATGAAAAAATATATTGTATTCATTTCGGCTGGTAAAAATCTAATTAAATGTCGCATGCAGAAACCATATGTCGATGTTCTAATTTATCATAAGTACCGCGCCTAACTGACGACTAAATGAACTAATGAATCATTGAAGATGAGGAAGATGAAATATCAGTGGCATCCTCAGAATATGGTGCACCGAGAAGATCACCTGCAAATTATAGAAAAAACAACAAAGCGAAAATAAATACATCAAAATAGGAACAAAAAGTCAAGAAAAAGTACCAAGAAATCCACTGAGACTTTTACTCATTTTTAAATTCTGCACATTATTTGAAATCCTACGCAATTCAGGGGAATGTGAACGACCATCGACATAATCTTCCATATTTGAGGATAACTTGGAGCATAATTTATTACTTCCCACATTTATACGTTCAGTTACATCAGCACAGATCTGCAAGAAAAAGTAAATTTTTTCATAATACAATTGTATTTTGCATAAAGTGAGACTTATATAGTATTACCTGTGAAAATCTCCTCTTAAATTTTATATTCTCAGATGTAGATGGATAATTACGCATGAACGGTTCTATATTATGGAACAAATCATTGACACACATCGATTCTGGGAGATGAGTAAGAAAATAGACGACTTCTTCGAAATTCATTTCAAGTAACTGACATTCATATAAGCGTATAATTCCTAAACAATTTTAAACAATAACCTCAAATTTAGCTGAATATTATGAAGACATTAAAATATCAAATGATTATACCTAGCGCAGTCTTGAACAAAAATTCTTCTCCATCTCGAAGAAAAATATCCCAAACTCGACATGTAACATCAAAAGGTAGAGATTTTGCATATAATGTATATAACCTGCAGTTAAAGAACTCATAATCTTGTGCATAATAATTGATATGAAGTGGCAAAAATTCTTAATTTTGAATATTTTCAAAAGACTCACCACTCAATAAGATATAGATCAGGTCGAACATCAAGCTGATCGAAATGTGAATGTAGTTTAGGAAGTTCTTGATGAAAATACTGATCATAAGCAATAAAATATACGGTCATTTCTGGTTGTTGCAAACGGAAAAAAGCCAACTGAAAATTTTAAAATATTTTTATCGATTATTACTAAAAAATATTAACAGATGAAAAATTGTCATTAAAATTCTAGCAGTATACTAGGAAAATAAAAGATAAAAAGTTAACCTGAAGAGGACGATTTAATAAATTTGCAAAGGCAACAAATGCATCGTAAGGATCCATTTGCAATAATAAAACTGCAGCGATAAATGACATTGACTGAACATAACCGATATCTGGTCGGTAACATACATAAGCGCCCAATAAATTACATAAAAGATTATGATAGGGCCCTCCCTAGAAAAATTACAAAGAAACTACAACTGCAATGAGAAAACGAAACAACTAATATTACTGAAATGATAAAAATCAGATGCTATGATTAGAAAGCAAAAAGTTTTACCACTTGAAATATTCCTAGATTGGGAAACGTTCTAGAAACATCAAGATGAATCAGTTTCACAGTATTTTCACGATTAATCGGTTGAAGAAAGACATTATCTGCAAATTTGCAAAACTTCTATTTTCTGAACAATTCAAATTTTAGAATAATCTATCTTCGAAGCATTAAATTTAATAGAAAAAAATTCAATTCGAATAAATCAAATTTATAATACCATCGAATACATCTGAGGTTGCTTGTTTATCGTTTTGAGGTGAATTATCTGAGTCTTCATTTTTACTAAAGAGTGTCATTTTTTCTCGAGCCCGTGAACAACATATGTCATATAAATCTGGAAAAACAATAACTAAATTTCCGAAGATTTTCGAGAACTAGACAGTGATGCGCAATATGCGCAATAAAAAATTCAAAAATAACCTTGCGTTAAATTAAGTTCATTACCGATCACCAATAACCAAATTAATCCGCGTACTTTTGAAGGCAATCCTTGCCACCATAATTCATAACATCTTTTCGTATCTTTCCTATAAACACCTTTTAATGACAATAGTGGATTCATTATGTATTTATATTTAAATATTTTTATGTTAAAATATATTACAAAATAACAATGATAATGCTAACTAATTCTTAAAAGAATTAAAAAATTTTGGTATTATTCTAGCCACAAAATTTGCTCCTAAAGCGCGAATATCATCTGCATAGAATAAATAATCTGCCTAATGTAGCCAAAAACATCCGCAGGGAATTAGAGAAGGGAAATGCATTGTACTAGTGTTAACAATATTGATAACAATGAACAAAGTCAAACAGAAAGAAAAAAATATACATTTACTGCACCAAGGGATTATTCAACTTTAGATGATGAAAATAGCTGATAACCTTCGTTTTAGAATTACACAGAGAGAAAGAAAAAACAATTTCAACTTGTTCCGATAATTAATTGTAACTGACGAAAAAAAGTGGCACAGGACGTGCCTTGAAAATGGATTTAAGTAATTTGGATCCATTACTTCAAATGACATTTAATTTAAAGCATTTGTATCATTTAAATTTTAAATTATTTTGAATTAATAAACGAACAGAATTTGGATATCAAATTTTAACTTGTCGACCCAACTGAACCACAGTTTTGCAATAGTTCAGATTTGTAAGAGGAATCTGGATTCAAGCTGCAAAAACTTCCAGCGTGTGGTAAGATTGAATGGTCAAGATATAAAGAATTCATTTATATAAATATAAAATTGTATTATATTATATTTATTTATATAATAAGAGGGAAGAGAGCGATCATATAATGAAGAGATCAGAGGATTTAATATTACAATGTAGAAAATGTAGAATTTCGCATTTCGGATTTATCAACAGATAATTTAATTTTTAAATCTCTCTCTCTCTCTAGTATGGAAAAAAGAAATATTATCAGATTACCAGATGAATGAAGCAAAGCAATTCTGCTCCCAATTTCCAAGAAGGATAGTAGGACATATTGCGACCATTATTGAGGAATCAGCCTACTAGATATCTCAATGAAAATTTTTTTTTTTTATTTCCTTTTTACTCAATAGACTTATAGAAGTACGGAACAGCAAGATGCCTAATCAAGCTGGATTCAGACCAGGGCGCGATTTTGCTGACCAGATATTTAAGTTAAGAAGGAACATCGCTTCAGATATTTGTAACCCACTTTCACGTGTTTCATCGACTTTGCAGCTGCCTTCGATTTAATTGATAGAACGGCACTTTAGAGGATGATGGAATGCAACGGTATTCCAGAGACGATTTTTCGGCTCGATAAAAGCATTTTACCAGCATGCCTTGACAAGCGTGTATATATAGGGAACTGACAGACTCTTTGGAAATAAAAACTGGTGTCTGCCAGGGCTGCATCTTTTCTTCTACAATATTCAACTATACGATAGACTGGATAATGGGCATCTCTTGTCGGGACTCAAGAGGTAAACACGTCGATCCAGAGCATCATATCACAGATCTTGAATACATTGATAATGTAGTCCTTTTTAATAACAATTATCGAAATGCAAATAATAACGTGTCAGCAGCTTCAGTAAGAATCGAACTCAGGGTCAATGTAAACAAAAAGCCTTCTCATCTTATATACATGAAGCTGATAAAATCTCTTTTTACAAATTCATTGCCGGTTGAGTAAATTTCCGACTTTAAATACTTTGGATCCACTCTAACACTGAATGGGCAGGCAAAAGACGATATTACAACCCGGATTACTGCAGTTAGATATGCGTTCTTCCGGTTAACTTTTATAGAGCTGTTATGAAATCATCATGAAAACAAAAATCCGCGTCTATATTGCTATTCGCTCAATTTTGGTATATGGCTGCGAAACGTGGCCAATGAGAGTGGAGAATATCAAAAAGCCATCAGCCTTTGACCACTTATGTCTAAGATACATTTTACGGTCCATTAAGCGAATAAAATATCATATGATCACATCCACCTTCGTTCAAATACCACTTGTATTTACAATATCATGACGGAGCGTCGCCTCCGCTAATTAGAACATATTCTTCGTCGCCTACCACAAGAACTGACATAATTCGTTATTTGCTAAAAAAATGTGATGGATGACGACAAAAGCGAGGTGGTCCAATTAAGATTTGGACTGATATGGTCATGAATGATTTTGAACGTATAGGTGGACCAGCAACATGTGTACTTAGATGTACTTAGATGATAGAAAAAGGAATGGCTTCTATCACTGTCGACGATGGCATCAGACGCGCCACCTGGAAACATCTTACTATTTTTATTTTTTTTATCGGTTTATAATTAGGATTATTTTTATCTTCTCTTTAAAGATGAGTTACATATCAGAGTTTCCGAATCTACAAATTTAAAATACCTTTAAAGCGGTAAAATTAAACAGACAGACTGCCTATATTTTTGAAGGATTTGTGAATTTATCAGGTCTCGTAAAAAAGATCTTTTCATGTGAATTAAAGCACCACAAAGATTTTATTTTATATAGAGATCTCCTAAAAAGAATGATGTGATTCATTTAGTTCTAAATTTCATAAAAATCACTTAAAGAATCACTCAGATGGCGAAATACTTATTGAACATTTTAACAAATTGTATACCATTAATGAATAAACTTTCATTGCTTTTTACGGGAAAGCTGTTTTTTTGAATAGAAAAATTTGTTCATACAACTCCAAAATTTCGTTTGCTTAAAGGAAGTTAATGGAAAATTCTCGTACAGCTCTATGAAAAGCCTTTAAAAAAATGAGACTAGAACTGTAAAGAAGTTTAACGCTTTATATCTATTGTAAGGACTATTTTTAAGGCTTCTAAGAATCTCGTTATTATTATTTTTCATAGTTAAAAAAATATAACTACTCCATAATGTTTAGCCTCACTCTTGATCTGATCAGTGCACGATAACATATAATCAAGTTATTCTAACTACATAGGAATTGATAGCTTTATAGGGAAACAAGCCGTGTTGTCCAATCCCTCTAAAAAAAAACCATGACCAGAAAATCCAAGAAAAATAATTAGGACAACATTACCGATCTATGAGAGTTCGGCGAAATCTGATTATAAAAAGAGGTACCGACAAATTCAAATCAAAGTCGACGATGACGTTTATAGAAAACATAAAATTTGGAGATTCAGCAGATATAAAACACAATAATATTTCTTAAATTTTTATCGAACTCCGGCAACATTTCGCAATATTGAGCAAACTCAATTTGGGTAGAGGGAAGATGCCTTGCCGAGAATGAATTCGCTGGAATTTCATTAGCCTATATCAAATGACTTTGACAATCCACAGTAACATTTTACGTTTATATTCGAGTCAGCATCTTATGCCCATAGAAACTTATGCTTGAGACTCTATTTTTTCATGTATTAACAGATGCTATGACCAGTATCATGATCCTTCTCGTATAAACTTTTTTCCTTAAATCGGAGACGATATATCAATATATCAAATATCATTTACTTTATCGAGCTCCGGCAATACTCGGCAATGTTGAGCAAGCCCACCGGATGAAGAAGTCTTGTCGAAACCAGTTTCGGTGGAATCGCACCAGCTCATAAGTCGACTTCGACACTCCACCGTTTACAAAGTAGATTAGTCTGATTTCAAAAAATTACATTTCGTTCCACTTCGGCAAAATTGCATTACACCACTCACGACAGGCCGCGGCTCTTTGGTCCTCCAATTTTCGCTGCACCTCGAGAGCTTTTTTTCGCTCTTTTAATTTACGTGCTTCTTTTTTCTTAGTATGCTCAATTAATTCATTATATTCGGCTCTATGTTTCGCCTCTTCATTCTCCGGCTTTGCGGGTAAATTTCTGAAATAAAATGAACCAGTTCATTCCACTTAGCAATGTTATTCTATGTAGTTAAGTTCTATAAAGTTTACATCCTAATTTTCAATATTCCAATTTAAACTATTGAAAATAAACTTGTATTATTTGATATTTGATCTCGAAATTCCATATTTTCTAGCAACTGGCTTTTTAGCCAAAGAAATCGAAACGCAAAAAGATGCTACAAATCAAAAATACTTCGGTCTATTTTCCAAAATAAGACCAGTAGTTGATACAACACTTTCGTCTTTCAGTGGTTTTCTTTCCATAAAATATTTGCAAACTGCACCACTCGATATATTACTCGCCGAGCTTTCATTGATTGTCAGTTGCTTGTTACGCGAAAAAAGTCTCCTAAACAATTTGCTATAAAAAGTATAGAAGAAACATTTAAAAAACTGAAATATTAAAAACTGAAAATTGAAGTTGAAGAACAAGAATCACTTCGTTATGTTCGCACAGTAAACAAAATCTTCTCATAGATGCAAAACAAAGCCATAATCACCACGGAGCGAAATCAATACTTTTTCATCAAATATTAATCGGTGATTTATAGTTTACAGCAAATTTAGGCCTTTAGTGAAAATTATAATATTTTCAATTTTCCACTGAATTGTAGAAAAAGGTGCAAGTTTTAGTCACCAACAAAATTAATCCACTTTTCTATAATTTTCTATAATTTTCTTTTCGTTTATAGACTTTGAAAAACCGCATAGTCGATAAATAATGCTAATTTAATTTCAACTTTACACAAGAAATTCTGCTCCACAAAAACAACTGAAATATTAACTATGACATTAAACGACAAATACAATTCGAAAAAGATAACTAAGTAAATATAGCAAATGCTGAAGTACTTGATTGTTTAAAGAAATCTATAAAATAAATTCCTTAGTGACGAATCCAACTTGGAAGCTAAATTTCTTTTCTTGAATTTATAGATTTATTCACTACATTCACTAAAACAACGACCAAATTATTAGAAGATTTATCAGAAGTTTACATATTTCTCTTCATTTTCCATTTCACCAAAATGCAGGCTCACTTTTGCTTTGAACATATAAAAACTAATTCCTTTCTATGAATTCCACTTACTTTTTATACTTTTATACCTCTAAACATTTTTAAAGTGGTCAATGATCAAATTTCAATCTCAATATCTTGGCCCGTACAACATGGAATGGTGGAATTGTACTAAATTTGGGTAAAACCATTACAAGATAAAAATCATTTCATCCATACAAAAAACAAAGATTTATTGCGCAAAATTTTACAAAAATAATAATTGAAAAATGACTAAAATAATAAAATAATAAAGTGAAAAACAAAAACAAGATAAATAAAATTCGAAAAAGAAAATGATGCCTATTAAACTAAAGAAGTCAAGTATGAGGAAATACAGTGAAAATATATAAAGGCAGAAAATTGGAGAATATAATTTATCAATTTATTAGAATGAAAATTAACAAAAAGGCAAGGTATATCAAAAAAAAAAGCATCGTTTAAAAAAAACTGCGCGTGAAAAAAATGATTAAAAGAAACTCTAAACTAACTTTTTAAATATTCTTTTATTCAATACAGGAAAAAACAAATGAATTATTTAAACCTTGGAAAATTTATGGTTGGCAGTGGAACTTTCCTTCTAAAACAATTTGCTTTTCCAGATGATTTATCACAGCAACCTTTATGTGCAAGATTTTCATCATCTAGGCAATGAAATGATAGCTGCGACTCTAAATCGGAAGCGATTTCAGAAATTTGACCTTTCCGATCCAGGGAGTTCCATTTAGAATTTAAAGATTCGCCTAAAAATTTCAGTTATTATTTTTGTAATCTTCTTACAAATATAAAAAATAAAAACTTACCCCGCCTTCCCCTCCCTCCCAAAAAAATTCACCATAATATCTGCCTAACCAATATCCTTCCCTACTACATAAGCAAAAAAGCCAACCAATAGCAGAATCCGCAGTGGGGGCAGTTTCAATGCTTGCAGTTGATGTGCACAGTTGACCTTTATCTTTTAGCATAATTCCAGCAAATGACATTGGCATTTGAGCCATTTTATTATCCGTAACAGATCTAGTAAATTTAAATAAAATATATTGCAATTTGCCGAAATGCTGCCACTGATATTGAGTTTTCTTAGATAAAATTCCAGCATAATTTAAAATCATTCTTCTATCATATCATCTACATATCATTAACATATAGTAATAATAACCAGCTGATTTGATGAAATTTTCAACGAGGATTTTCCTACGATATATAAATAACCACTTAGGCCGACCTTCAAGAATTCTGGATCTGCGATTAAGATTTTTGATATTTATGCATTTCTTAATAAAATGTAAAAATTTCTTATTTGAAATAAGGTTTCTTCACTGTTTCCTTACTTCATTTTCTCCTCTCAAAAAGAAAAGTAGAACCTGTCGTCCCAATATCATTAAGCCAACAAATAATCTACTGTCAGGTACTACTGTCAACAATACTTAGATCATATAATAAGGAAAACCAGATAAGTACTAATAAAAAAACAAGGAAAAAGACGGTAAGTACAATCTAATTACAATAATACTGCAGAAAATCAATAAAATTTTCCACCGCCCTGGGCATTTTCAAGCTGATATGAAATATGTTAACACAAAATCATGTTCTTTTGTTTCGTTATATATGAACCAAAATAGGAACGCCAGATATCCAATAAATACTATTTTCATTATTTCTGCCAAGTTTATTCACAGTTCTTTCTTATTAATACGAAAATAAATTCGCTTCGTGACAGAAAATTATAATCGAAATGATTTCTCTGCTTTTTTTTCCACAACTCGCAGAAAAAACTGAACTTAGGAATTAAGTTCATTGTGGAATTTATTATTCATAAAATTAATACTTGAATATTTAAAAGCAGTTAGACATACCCTATACCAAAAATATTGTTCCTTTTTTGATTCTTCAACAAATAGAAACGATCATTGAAAAACTGTGGTTACTATCTATGGAATTCAAAAAAACAACCTATTTAAACTACTGGCTTTTCGCACAGCAAACAATGAACGCGGTCGATGATTTAATTGAATTTGAGCTGATTCATATGAACTTCGTCGAATATGACCACGCTTAAATACTTTCTCTTCCATTTGACCTAAAATATTAAAAGAAAGATCAAATCTGGATAAAAATACCGGAATAATACGGCAATTTTCGATTTTTTGGCAGATATTTTCACTCTATTGTCCAAAAGATTATAGGCCCGTTATGCAAACAAATTTAGTCATACTGGCTTAGATTAAAAAATTATTCGCATTAAAAATAAAAAATTAACAATTCATATTTGAAGCTGATTCATTTTTAGTGCAAGCATGACAAAGGCTTTTTGCTTCTGTATCATAGACAAGTGGAAGATTTTCAAGCACAGTGGCTAATGCCGAAGGTGTCGTACCACTTGTAATGCTTTGACTGTGAGCCAGTTCGATTCTGAAAAAATATTAGCCAGATGCAATTTAACAATTTAAGAAAGAAAAGTGAAAAATATTCTAAAAATAATATCTTAATAATATATCTCGGTAATATACCTTAGGATTAAAGTAAATTAAACTGGCAATTTGATTATATGCAAATCTGCGTGGAAATCACTGAGTTTTGTATATAATTCTATATAAAAGAATTTCAAATAATGAATCCATATATTGAAACATCGAAAAATTTAAACCTAAAAATCCATAAAAACACAGTATAGCAGAACAGAGCGGTTCACAATCAAATCCATAATAGCAACGCATTTTATAAAAATAACCATTTAAAATTTGCAAGATAGTGAATGGGTATGGCTCAAAATTTAAACCAACTAAGAGGTTAGGGTTGCATTCACAGATTACATGCTTTAATAAGCCTAAATGTGCAAATAGCAAGATGGACGATCGTCGCGCGATTGTAGCGCTACAAAATTAGCGCGGAATCGCATCACAGGAAAAACTGATAAACGAGAATGCCAATGACGCCATAGGATAATCGTTTTACGCTTTTTTCAATAAATAAAAAGCAAAAAGTTATTACCAACGAAAAAAAGGCCAAAACCAAACAATGTTGAATTCCCAATACGATTCAATTAATTAATTCTAATTCAGAGAATCCAGCAAATGCAACTAATAGGAGAATTTGTCTAAACAATCTAAACTGCTGCTTTTAATTTTTTCATTCCATTCAAACAATTTTTTATTGAATGTAATGCTGAACAGACGAGTATTGCAAGAGCAATAAAATTTGACATATATATGACGCTTCCGATTTCAGCAGAAGTATTTGAAGAATTATCCTATAAGGATCACGGCATCTGCCACAACGCCAGTTGTGAAACAAGGAAAATAATAAGCGATACAACCGTATATTTCATATATTCACATCTGAGTATCTCAGATTACACTCCCATGCAAAGATAAATCATTTGGTTGAGAGATTTTCTCTGAATTGTCTGAAATAATCAAAATCTTTATTTCAGCTATAACAAATATTTTAAACAAGCTCTTTTCATAAACTGTAGTGTCGAGTGTCAAAGTCGACTGATATAAACTGAAGAGATTCCAGCGAATTCAGTCAGACTTCACGAATTGAGCTTGCTCAATGTTGCCAAATGTTGCCAGAGTTCGATAAAATAAATAAAATTCATATTTCTCGCCTACAATTTAAGCAGAAAGGCTTTTGAAGAAAAGAAATTTTATAATAAAAATTGCATTAGAACTGAAATTTCAATTAAAATTTACGAAATGACCAAATAAAATTTAAACAAAAAATTCAATAAAAATCTAATAATCTAATAATTTAAAATATTAAATGAATTAAAATTAACTAATAATTGATTAAGAAAACTTAATTAATATGGAATTCTTCTTCTTCTAACAATTCTCATCCTCACGAAACTTTCACCATTACTGGTTAGGCTGGCTACAAGGGTAAGACGTCTCTAAGCTGCCCGTTCCGACGCCGTCGCTTGTAGTGATAGAAGCCATTCCTTTTTCCATCGTCTGAGTCCATATATCGCCGGTCCCCACACGTTCAAAATCTTTTCTGACCGTTTCAGTCCCGGTCTCGACTGCCCCTCGTCGCTTTTGGCGCCAACTCCTAAGGTGGACGGCGGAGAACGTGCCGCGACCAGCGAAGGCAACGCTCTGTGATAAAATTACAAACACAGGTGGAATTTGAGCGAAAATACTGCGAAATAAAGAAAAAGAAAATTTCACGGATTTTACGGACAAATAAAAGATTGGCAAGTGGCGGCAAATACTTTCCTAACAAATATTTTAACAAATAATCGTTATTTTGTCGAATTTATTGTTAAAAAACCCATCGCGCTTTCCATGTTTACTTCACCTTATAATTCAAATCAATAAACCTTTATAGCAGACAAAGTAACTAAATGAAAAGGCTTGCGAAAGAAAATCTTACAATTTTTCTTGTTAGAAAGCTGAAGCTGACCATTAAAAATCGCATTGGAAACCAGATCACTCCGTTTGAGATATACAACACACAAAAGAAGCACAAAACCCTCCAAACAAATCCACAACGTGGAATCTGACTGATGCAACGTAAACGTCAAACAAATATTTGATTGACAAAAATACAACGCATAGAAAGAAAGGAAGCACTACAATATGGATAGAAGTTACTGTGTAGTTGGTGGACAGATGGATAATCGTTTCTGTACCTTGACGAGGCCTTCGTTACCGAAATGCGTGCTGATCCGGACGGCAAGAATCGAGTCCTCTGCATGGTATATTAGCAACAAGCTCCCTCCCGACTTTATTCGTTGTACAACCAGTTAGTTACCAATTAGCATAAAAAAGATGACAGACAAATTTGGAACACAGGATTTGCCTTGAATGCAACTCGGTGCAAGCTATACTGAGACTCGAAATAGCGCCGTGAAACGCGAGCATTTATTATTTTCTCCGTTATGCCACAGCTTTCTCGGTTTATTCAAAATTCATTTTTGAATAATTTTCATAAAAATTGATCCAATCTAAATTTATGAGTTAATGAAGAATTAAATTTATATGAGAAAATTCCACTACAGCGATACAATCCATATAAGGCAAGGAAATTGAAAAAGCACATATTAAAAAATTTGCGAATATTAATTTCGAAAGAACAAAAGAAGAATGATACTTAAAATTAGTAAATGGCAAATAAAATAAAAATTTCCAAATAATTTCCTCATCGTCAACTGGAAAACTGCTAATGAGAAATATATTTCAGCTATTTTAAAATTTTCTCTAAATTTTTTAAATAATTAACCAAAATTACCGAAATTTTTTTTATTAAACGTGAAAATATAAATCTAAATCATCAGTGAATTAGAAATTTCCCTATTTTTTTGACTTTTTTGGCAGAAAAGACATTTACTATTTAATAACTTTCTACGATGAAAGAATACTAAAAGAAACTAGTTGTAGTAATTAATTTCCTTACCACAGTTATTCTTTTCTAAATCTACTAAAAAAACGACTGAAAAAATGAAAATCAACGATAATACCAAAGTCTAAAAGATGAATTCACAAAGCAAACAACCAAAATAATCACATTATATAACCAAGAGTTAATACCAATCACGAAAAATAATTTGAATATGGTTTTTCTATATCTGATTCCTTATTAAACTAAACGATAAAGAAAATTCTATAAAAAATTACAATTTCATATATCTCTATAAAAAATGAGCAATTATTTTTAGAAATGCTTCTGTAAAAGTGAATTTCTAGTGAATTTTTTTAGAAATGCTAACATCAATCTCACAAAAAAATGAATAAAAAATTGAAAAATGTTAAAAAAGTTAATGAAAATGAAAGGCATCAATTAGGAAATGCAGTCGCGTTAGCATTTCTGCATATAAGGCAAAATGATGAGGCATAATTAGCTTGTTGCAAATGCTTCAGATGAAGCTTCCTCATTGTTACGATATGAATTTCGATTTTGATTCTCGCCGGGAGAAAATGGGTTAATTTTGTAAAGGAAACAAAGATTACATACACGAACCTGAAACAGACGATTAAAAAATTCAGTAAAAAATAGTTTTGCACTTCATGATAAATCTCTTGAAAAATCTTTCTTATTATTAGATCAGCTATTCATCGAATTAATTTTGCTGCTTACTTTTCTATCATAACCGAGTTCAGGCAATGCCAAAGAATTTGTAGAACATTTTCCGCAGAAAATACGACCACAGTTACGGCAATGATGCCGACGACGTACAAGTGTGAAAGGTGCACCACATGCAGTGCACTGTTCACAATCTGCATCTGGAACCCACCTAACACCTGCAATAAACAGCATTAGCCAACAGCTCATAAAAAGATAAAAAAAAATAAGATTAGAGAATAAGGAAAAAATAGCTTAAATTGAAACAGTACACCATAGTCCAACTGATAAAATAGGATTATGGTTTGATATAGGACATTTATAGGATATTTATAGGATCAAAATTTTTGTTATTTTTAACAAGAAATGCACTGGGGCTCAATCTAATTCAAACCACTAATTACTTTTATTCATTTACCGATGAAATATCGTCCTATTAGTTTTTCGTTACCATCGATGTAGAGCATGTTAAACGCCACATACTTTTGGAAAATGCAATTAAAACTTACCAACAAATGTTGGCAATGGAAATGCTTCTTGTACTTCAACACCCGTTTCTTCTTCATTTTCTGCTATCAGAGCTGTTTGACCCGGGATCTTAATTAATTGCCAAATTATTTTGCCCGATATATAAAAATGAATCCTAAAAAAAAAGTCACCTCATAAACAGGAACCATTTCATTCGGTTGCAACACCATTTTTAAAACTCTCCTGGTATCGGAAGGATACTGAATATGTATTTGATCCGCTACACCGGCGATGCAAACAAAAAGACGATGAATAAGATCGGCCGATGATCGATAATGAGAACGAATTCCGACTGCATCTGCGGAATCGCCAATCCTTCATTAAATTTTAAATATACTAAATAACTTTGCTGCTTAGATAAATATTGACCATAGTATTTCTTTGAAAAAGAACTAAGAACATTGGAAATCTAAGAACATTGTTAAAAAAAAAAACTTCATGAAAAGAAATTCTAAATGTGAAAATTTGGCCTCAAAAAACCAAAAAGGATCAACTTTTCATACATCCTTGAGCGGTCATCGATTTGTTCGAAAAATGATCCATCGTTTTGAATTATTGAATTGCACTTTTTGGTAATAAATCTCTTCTTATACTGATTTGAAGAAGAAGGCGAATCGCATTCTAATGAATTATCATTTTTTTGCAGTGAGGATTTTCGATAAAGACTATAAAAATTTTTTTTCAAATTTTCATTAACATTGAAAATTTAAGTTTTCCTAGTAGCAGCCAAATTGGGAAATTTTAGTCAGCTGTAGTGAGTTCTGACCTTTTGTTGCCTCTGAAACGAATTAGCTAAATTCACACTCAATATTTCATCATGTAATAGTAAATAATTAGAAATATTCATAAAAGTGGAAATAAAAATATGAAACTCTTCTATATAATAACCTCCTGTGCTAATTGTCCAAAAGCAAACTCTGTAGAAGCCAAACTGGGAAATTTTTGCCAGCTGAGTTCTAACCCTTTGTTGCTCGCAAAATCTTTTATTTTGAAAATTTCAAACTCCTCTGGAAGATTCTTCTAACAAGTTTCATTATATCTCATTAGTAACACCACCTTTAGTACCCTTGAATATTAACATAATTAATTTTTCTACATACCGCAACACTCCACTATATTTCCCGCTTTAAAGCCCTATCAGTCCATTTTTATTATAATCGAATATCAGAATGAATTAAGAGGTAGACGAGGTTTTGAAGTGACATTTAAAAAATCAGTTTTGAAGACATTAAGACGCTAAGAGACAAGTAACATAAAGATCTGAAGATCTTGCTGGCATAGCGGGTTTTATATGGTATTGAAATAATCGAACAAGCCGCGCTTTAAAAGCATAGAAAATACAATCACCTTCATGTGACTATAATTTATAATATTAGTGAATATACTAAAGATGAAAAAGAAAAACGAACTCAGAAAATGATTTGGATCGTGTTTTACAGAGGAAAGCTGAAATCGTCAGTGTTTCTGAATGGGGATCCGAGTCATCACAAAATGATGAATCACCTTTACACAACGATAGTTCTAATGATCGCAACTCATCTGGATCCAAAGTACGGAGAAGGCCACGAATCCTATACATTATGCCAACATAAGCTCGAAACATTTCTGGTATATTTTCAGTTGGTCCATCAATATCCAGAATGCCACCAGGGAAATGGAGTAAACCACTAAAATTAAAAAAAGGATGAAAGAATTAAAAAATCATCACTTTTTATGATAAAATTTGTGATCAATCATAAAAAATATAGAGATCTGTTGTGCTTACAGTGAAAACGCTTGCAGAAAACTAACCATACAATAGCTAAACGTGGCAAGGCAACCATTAGATTAGGATCACAATCATCAATTGAGTCGTGAGTTATGTATCCAACTTTAATTGCGCTAAAAAATTAAAAAATTGCTTGAATTCGACTATTACTTTGACCATGACTATTTGACTTCGCAAAAATTCTATCGAAAGAAAAAATCCACGAATTTCGAAATTTTAAGTTCAAAAAATTCCATCTTCGCTCATCAACATTCGACAAAAATTCGAACTTGAAAATTGAAAAAATTTTAAATTTAAAATCAAATTGCTATTTAATTTTTCTAATGCTATTCATTTATTTAATTGAATTATTCAATTCGCCAAATGTATATATTTAATTACTATTCCAGCGATTCAGAGAAAAGAACTGCAAGATTCAACTGTAACTCATGTTCGCGCACCGTTTTTACGGGGACCATCGCACTGACATAACTGCAAATCAAACTCGCCAATCTTTATTGAAAGAAATATGGATTTGCAAATTAATTATGCTAATTTCAATGAAAAAAAAGAGTGAAGCTTTAATATTCAACAGAGTTATCTATTTAAATTTCAGAAAGAAATCGAAGATCTAAAAAATTCAAAAATCGTACTTCAATTCAAATTCGGCGAAAAGATGATCAAATATTTTAAGACTTGTTTTTATTTTATCCGGATAATGCGTGGTACCCTTAAGCGACTGAATCTTGAGAAGTTCTCGTAAGTGATCTAAATGTCTCGTCAATTCTCTAGCCATTGGCCTGATTGCCTCGGATTCGGCTTCATGGTCGATTATGTTTGATCCAGCCGTTAAACACTGTAAAATATTTTTAAAATATAAAGAGCATAAATCATCAATCAATGATTACTGTAAATTATTATACAGAAGAAAATAAATTCGAATCTACCTCGGCGCCAAACCAGAGTTGTCCCGGTAAACTATCGTGAATAATTTCATCAGGAAATTTTATCCTGTAATCACGACTAACTCGATCCGATTCGCGAGGGAAAACGATCAGCAACATTTCTGCTAAAAATTAATGAAATTCAGAAATAATTGTTTGGGAACCACAACATACCATGAAAAAATTTGACTGGCCGCACGAATAACTGCAGGCTAGATTCATCATATTATTAACTCGCTTTATGCAATAACTCTTAAAATCTGATCATAATAAAGAATAGAAAAAAAAATTAACAAATAATATGAAGGAGACGATCTTGTGCTTGTCGCAATTTGGCGACCAACTGATTACAACGTTCTGGATCTCGACGACCATCAAATGAATCCAACTCACTAGTTACTGCATTTAAGGCTTCATCGGCATAATAAAATTTTGCAAGTGGTGACCAGTCATCCACACGAGGTTTATTTACCAGTCTTAATAAACTTTGCATCGACTAACTGGTACAATTGAACTGCAAAGGAATCACCGTTTAACACTTTACAAGCAAATAACGGAAAAAAACGAAATTTACAGTTTTTTTGGACTTTCAAAACTATTTTGAAGGTCATCGAAGAGGTCACTGAAAAAAAAGAAAAACCAATAATAAAACCAATGATAAAAATGATAGAAAACCGGACATAAAATTAAAAAACGAACGTATCTAACCGTTTTTATCAAATACTTTAAAATTAATAATCTTTGCTGCTTTCAGCAATTCGCGGCTGCGCCCCCCCCCCCCCCCCCTCCACCGCTCCATTTATGGCCCTATATAACCGCATTTATCCAATTGAAACCTGTTTAGACAGCTGAAATTGAACAATCACCGCTATATATTGGACGCTCACGTTACGCGCAAACCCTCCCTTTAACTTTAAGTAACATTAAATTCGGTAAAGTGGAAAGAAAAAAAAAAGTGATTGAATAAAAAGGCGAAGACGGAACTCGCAAAATGGGCGCGAGAAACAGCGACGAACGACTCGGCGATTCACGAATTTCGCAATAAATTCTAAAAAATACCAAAATCAAAAAATAAAGCGAAAGAGGCGATTGAAACGAAAATTCTAAACAAAATGAAATTTTCGTAATTTTTTTAACCAAAAATTTTGATTTTCTACGTTAGAAAAGAAATTTTTTTCAAAATTTTATCATTTTATCATTTAGAAAAATTAATTACAACGCAGTTCAGAATATTTCAAATATTTCATATGAACCATTTCCAAACGAATCCTTTGACTTCACTCGAGGAAGACGTATAAAAGAAAAATTTAAGCTGAAAGAACCACCATCAGATTGATGGAATACACGTATCGGCTTTGGCAATTTTACTTTTGTCTGATATTTAGAAGTTGTAATGCAGTACTATTTTACAGTCAGAGTAGGAGGATTCTAATTAAAATAGAATTTCGATGGTTTTCTTATTTATATTTTTTATAATTGATTTGATTTTTGGAAATTAATTAGAATTATTTTTCTGGTCAAGGAAGAAATAAAAATCACTGAAGTTTAGTGGCAGAAATTTAGAATGTGAAAACTGTGAAAATTTGTTAGGAAAATGAATAATTCTTATTTAATTAATGGTTTCTTGCAAGTTGAAAATTAAAATTAAAATGGAATGACACGCTTGGTGGCTGACTGTGGAACGTAGTTGCGTGAGGGAAGAGGAAAGCGGAGGAGGAGAGCGAAGAGGAGCCGGGAAGGAAGACGTGGATGGTGGGAAGCATGAAGCATGCTTGCCGACGTGTAACAACTTCCCCACAAAAGGCTTTCGTTTCAGCCTCTTCTTTCAGCTGCCATCGTCTCTCTCGTGCTAGGGAATGGCAAGCGTTTTCAAGCATTTCAATGTCACGCCTAGGATTTGAAGCCACCTTTTCTTCCACTAACTAAACTTGTAAATCGCTGGCCCAGTTCTCCATTCAACATCCCTCGTGTAATCATGTTTTGGCTCAATCCTCTCGTTTTTTGTGTCAACCATATTAGCAGAATGCATCAGTTCCTCTAGTGGACGACGAAGACATAGGTTGCCATCAATGCATGTGATCCTTGAGCGAAGCTCTCTCCCCCTTCATGCAACTAGTCGTTCGTTATTGAAAAAAACTCGAGTCGTGGGAACTTTACTGCGCTATCTCAAAATAGCTTTCTCGTTGCCGTATTATTTTTTCTTTACTAATAAATGAAATTGGCGACGTGTCGGATTACCAATTAGTAGTTCGATTATAATTTATGATATCTTTCTCATCATTTTCAAGGAATCGAAACATTAAATTTAAATTTAATTTTGATTTCATATTTCAGTTCAGTCAACAGATTCAACAAATTTTGGTTGGATTTCTTAAAAATAAGATTTATTTTTTAAAACATCTTTCAATATTTTATTGTTAATGCATGACGAAATGATAAATATGTTCATTGAGCTATTATTGCCAGTCATACACCTAAAGCATATTATTTATTAATGACAGCCTTATAGTACATTCTTGGCAGTCGGTAGACATTTTAAAATTAATTCAGTCACAAAAAAAAATCAAAAATTGTAATATTTTCACTGTAATAAAATAGATCATCATGCAGTAATAAATAGCTAAGTGAGTTCATATGATTTATTTTGTGTTTTGAATTTTCAGTGAAATTCATATGGTTTACTCAGTCACCAATGATTTCATCTCCCGATAAGAACAAGAATCAAAAATCAACAATGGTGACAATACCAGTGGCAGGAAAAGGGAATATTTTAGAGAAGTTAGAGAAATACTAAAAGCTGGAAGAGATTATGGAAGAGAGGAAAGTGAAAGCCAAAGTAATTCCAGTGATAATTTAAGCACTAGGAACTGTGGCCCCTAAATTAGAAAAGTGGTTCGAACAGATTCCAGGAATAATATAGAGATCTCTATCAAGAAGGGCTCACTAGAGACAGCTAAGATACTGCGTAGAACCCTCAATCTCGTAAGCCTCTGGTAGAAGACCCGATGTTGAGGATAGCCATGAATCACCCACATGTGGTGAGAAAGGGATTTATAGTATAGTGGTTATATAAATAGTAAGATGAACGACTAAATGAATGAATAAATCATTCTACCTCGGACATTGTTCCTATAAAAAAGTCCGCATCAAACCAAATGTTGAATAACCAACATGCCAGTTACAAAACAAAATAACTGGAAAAGGAACCTTATATGGAGTCATTAGGCGTTTCATACTAACACTAAAATAGAATCCAATGGATTAATATACGCTACAGCCGCTGCAATTCTGGAAATGCTTGAATATAGAATCAAGAAGAACAGCAATAGATATCGCTCCTGGAAAGTGAAGCTAGAGAATGAGATCAGAGCGTAGAGAGGTTAATCAACTGGTAGAACTACAAGGGATGTGAAGATTAAGAATAGGACTCATCTTGTTGGAAAAATATGAGGGCTATACTTCATCTGAAGCCCTTGTCGAAAATTCCGACAGCCTTGGGGATTGCTAAAGGCGGACAGCATTGGCCAATAAGTTGAAGCGATACACTAGTGAAGTAATAGCCAAAAAATACTGTTTTTCAAAGAACTGTGGCGGACTTGAGTCAAATCAAAAAAGTATTGGAAAAGCACCAGAGGCTCAAATAGCAAGTTGTGGACAAAGCGGTGACTCGAGATTTAAAATCCCAGTCGACCAGTCTTTGAACAGCTTAGATTGACTATAAAAACACATAGCTCTGAATATCTGGATCTATGAGGTGTCAATAGGTTTCAAAGAACCTTCATTGAGAACTGAATAAAAGCATGAAAAAGGGCACCCGAAATCAATTGAAAACAACTTGCATAGGTGGTTATCTAATGCTGCAATGCATTACAACCACTGTTAGAAGCGAATGCGGACACAAGTTCACCACCATCAACCATTTTCTCTACAAGGATGATATTAAGTTATATGTTAAAGAGGAACGAGGTATTGAATTCCTAATATAAATCTACAGCCAGGACATCAGGATTCGGGTTGAAGAAATGTTACCGAATGAAGAAATGTAACCGAAAGTAAAGGGAGGAAAAATAATTAAGACTGATGGGATGGTTGTCGGTAGGGTATATAGCTTATACAAACTAGCTGCAAATATTTTGGTATCCCTCAGTCTCATGGAAGTTACGATGAAGGATAAAACATCTTTAAGAGTCAATTCAGTGAGAAAAGCAAAATATGCACGCTCTCCTCAGATGCGCTGATAGTCAAAAACATTGAGGTCGCCGATGTGAAGGCATGGAAATTTGTAACAATGCACGAAAATTTCCACTTCAAGTCTAACACAAATATGGTACACCAGCCGGAAAGAAATTGGGATTTATATCAAAGCCAATATCTTTGAGACCCGAAGCATGTATCAGCAAGAATGTATCAGCAAGATGGCACTAAAGGAAGGAAGGAGAAAGGAAGGAGAACCGTGGCAAAGTAGGATACTTCATGCACCATCGACGGGTGAAATTGCTCATATTGAGAAATGATTGGAAAAAGCCGGGCTAAAGGCAATCTTGAGGCATTGATCTTAGCACAAGAGGAGCCATTAAGCACCAGAGTCATCAAAGGGGAATATAGTAGAATCAAGTATGCAGGTTGTGCAAAAAACAGTCCAACACATAGTGCCAGGATTTAAAATGTATGTAGGAACGGCGTATACACTGAAATGCATAACCAAGTAACTGGCTTCTACGGAACATTTACTCGATATATGGCTTAGACCATTCCAAGACTAAATATAGAAGATTTCTCAGAAAATCGTAAAGAAAAAAATAAGGCTAATTCTGTGGGACTCTCCATCCAGACAGACAAGTAGTACTAGCCAATCAACTAGATATTATGGTAATGGAATTAGAGAATTAGAAATCAGCACTGGTGATAGATATAGCATTAGCAAATAAGGCAGGAACGATAGAAAGAAAGAATGTGAGAAGTCAGACAAATACCAGGGATTTAAAGAAGAACTGGAGAAGATATTAAAAGTGAATATTAATCCCAAAGTAGTTCCAACGGTAATAGCAATTGTGAGTAAAAAATTAGAAAAGATTCTGAAATTTCAAAAGATTCGAGATAGCATCAGAGAGAAGAGCGCACTGCTAGGAACAGCTAAGATATTGAGCACAATTCTGTCTCCCAGGCGTCTGGTAGACGTCCTGAGAGAAAATCCATACAACGCATAAGGGTCGAGAAAAGAAAGACTAGGAGGTATGGTTATAAGCATGGATAAGGAAACATCATCTGTGCAAAAAGGAAAGACTTTGGAAGGTTGCTTTCCCATTCGTTTTTCAAAATTCGTTTTTTTTAATATCTAGGAAGCCAGTTTACATACAGTGGGAGTTGCATATTGCAGTTAAGAAATATTCGACATAACCGAATATTTGAAATATAATTTTTGTTAATTTTCCATATTTATTCCGTTAAAACACAAAAATCGAGAGAAAATGATTAACAATCAATTTATCTATTGTAGAAATTTTTGCGTATAAATATAAGACACTACAACTAACTATTTTGAATCATTTGTACTTGTGCTCGATTTTACGAGCTTCGTAATCGAATGTAAGGTCACATAAATATTTTGTCTCAAAAAATAAAAATTTGTGAGAAGCGTTTTCTTTCAATGATGATAATCTGATATGTGCTGGCAAAATTGTCCAGTGGGGAAAATAGATTTTACGATGCATTTAGAATGCTTTTCCATGAGTTCTAATTCTCAAATTGCATTCATCAGGAAAAGTCGGAAAGGTACCTTGAATAACGTCGATTACAAAATAAACGACAAAAAAAAATCGTTGACTTGAAATTATTTAGTTTTTCAACTTTTATTTTAAAATCTGATAGTAATCCTTTGAATTTTTCTTAATATTCAAGTCAAGTCAAAATATCAAGTCAAAATATATTATTTTCAAATGAAGAAATAGATTAAAGGTTTCGACGTTAAGAGACCATTTTGAAAAAGCTGAAAATAATTTGAGGAAAACCATTTATCACTTTATCATTTCCTTATTATGAAATTGAGATTTTCATGATATCGAAAGACGGGAATATTAAAGTATTCGATATATTTCAATAGGATTTATCACATGATATTCGAGAAATGAGCTTCAATAAACTGATTCTTATAAGATTCTGTATGGTTATGGTTAAACTAGATTGTTCAAATATTACAGTTATAATTTTAGGTTAAATTTGAATCCAGCAAGATTTAATGAGCCAAAATTATTGAAACTTATGTGCAAAACTAAACTAACTAAGGACTCATGATTTCTTTATTCGTACTATTAATTACTGGAATAAATTACCGAGTGATAGTTACCTTGTGCGTTATCCTTAACTATCTTAAAAAAGAGTTAGATAATATCATTCATGATATTATTTAATAAGTTTAACATCATGCAGGAAGTGTAAATCTCGATTTTTACCATCCGATTATATATATATATATACAATTACTTCGAATTGTACTATATTATCTTTTAATTTCCTCTTTATTTCCTCTTTAAATTGTTAATTTTTCATATTTTCTTCCTATTTTAATGTTTAATACAAGCACATGGCTTGTCGCCCTGCTTGGCTGGTTTTCAATAAATAAATAAATATATGTGGATAGCCACCTTACAGAACAATTTATATCATTTAGAGAGCAAGTATTTTTCATTGTTCCAATTTTTGTAAATTTTTTAAATTTCTGAATCGGCAATGACTTTTTGATTTAAGTAACTTTAAATTCTCTTTTAAAAGTTCAATGAGACCAATACTTTTCCCTAACATTGCAGGAAACTTACAAGTTTATTAAATTAGTTAAACAGCAAATTAAATTAGTTTATATTAAATACTATTTGAAACACTTTGTACCAATAATTGATTATTGAAGCACACCTTCCACCTTCCATAATTACATCTGCAGATGTATAACGGACAAAAATGGCCAGTTCTGAACAATTGAAAAAGAGTCGGCAAGAGCTGAATGCTACACTTTTCGCAAACTATTATTCAGCTTGACTTCAACTCTCTGTAGATTTCATTAACATGCTTTTCTTGCGTTACGAGACTTGAATTTGTCCCATTAATCTCCTCCATAGCATTTTAATATTTGGTTCTTTATCCCAAAAAAAACTAAGCGACTTTGATTTTTTAAAATGAATTCTTCTTTCTCACATATACATTTAAAACTTATTTATTTGTTTTATTACAAGTATTATTTTTAATTTTCGTCGCATTTGGAATAAACTTATCATGAAATCAAATCAGAAACTCGGATCTCTGCTAGGAACCCATCTGTAGTTTTGTAGTTCCCAAGTGATAGAAGAACCTGATTGCGACTCAACGTCTTCCGACACGTATGTATCCTTAGTTCGGCTGTATCAGCGATGAACATACAATCTGGGCGTAATAAAACAGACATCGTAGGATAGTACATAGGATTCCAAAGCTTAAGAATGTAACCACTCGAATTTGTCAAGGATAGTGAATAACTGTCAATCAGTTCTCTCTGTTCACGCAAATCGAACCCGACTGGTTGGATCAATGTTGGGGTAGAATGGCTCATTGAATCCTTCAGGACACCAATATCGGGGTTCTCCTCACGGCAGAAGAAAATTCTGTTTCAAGAATTCGCATGGTCCAATCGCGCTTCGATCGCAAATGGATTCTCTGGTCTCTGGCAAAATATGTCGATTCGTCGAACTTATTTATCTTCCTTTTTTTACTTTTTAATCAACTTCATAGCTAATGCCGCGCTTAATAATTTTCCAAGTAAATATTTACATGATGAATTTTGAATTAATTTTTTTAAAAATGTTTTCGTCTTTAGAAAAATGAAAAATTTCCCAAAAAAAAATTCTTCAGCTTGTAAAAATATAAACATTAAACATTTGTATTCAAATGTTCATTTAAATTCTTCGTTTAAAAAAAAAAAAATCTTTAAAACATTCATTTATTAAATATTAAAGCAAATATTACATGAAATTAATTTTTGAAATAAAATCCATACATTAATTACAAGGCAAACGAAAAAATCATGAAAGTTATAAATTCATTAAAATAAAATAAAATTATAAAACTGTAAAATAATGAAATAATAGTTATAAAATCGATGAAATTTCATGTAAAAGCGAAGAAAATAATTTTGGACATATAATGTTTATGAATAAAAAATGATTTTTATTCATAAATTTTTATTCATTATGAAAAAAATGGAAAAAATTATTATTAAATAAATCAGATTTATACGATGTAAATGATTGTTTTACTTTAGTGTTTTCGAAAAATTTGGTAAATTTCTTGAAATCCAATCCATTCCATCCTGGAAATTCTTTTATGTTGGATACTATTTTATTCGCTGCTTATCATCTAATTTGTTATTTCAAAATATTTTTAAAAATTAAAAAAGAGTATTTTCGTTTATTCAGGTTTGACTACTTACTTGCTGTTAATTTACCTTTGCACTGATTATTTATCTTTAATTACCGTTATATTTTCGGAGGGATGATAGGAATGGCTCAGGTAGCCATTAATCTTATTTTGAAGCGCCGGTGCGACTTTATTTCTGGCAAAAGTAAGCCTGTCTTTTAGAAATCCAGATGGCGAATCACCTGTGTTTCTATCGCCAATTAACTCTGGATCAAAATTTTGTCTTTCCAAGGAGTCACCGTAGCGATGCTAATAAAAAATGATAAGCAAAAAATCTTTATGCTAAATAAAGAGGAAGACATCTAAATTATTTTTTGTATTGCTAGTGATAAAGCTGAAAAAATTTGAGAATTTAGTAATAGAGAAAAACCTTGATTCCTTCGCCAGTAACGGCTGAACAAGGTTGAATTTGCCATGATCTGTCTCGAATCGCAAGCAATTGAAGACCTTCGGCAATTTCGCTAGCTCTGGCCGCAGTCACAAGATCCTAAAAAAGATAAAAAGAGGAACTGGGAAGAATCACTTTTCCCATTCAATTCCCATTTCCCTATTTGATCAATTGTGGAGCATCATTTTTATTTTTGGGTTAACAGTGATGCTTTACGTTCAACCACCAGTAACTCGTTTATATCAATATAATTCTCAAAATCATTGATTTTATCCATCTAAGATAAGAAATTTGTTGGCTTTTCAAAATGAATCGATTGAGAAATCCGGTTCATATTCGATAGTTCTCTCATAAATTGCTGATCAAATGAATTCGGAATTAGACTAAAACCATTTCGTAAAAATTAAATGAAATTAAAGCGAATTACTTGTTTGTTTGCAAAGATTAACAATGGGACATTTTTAAGTTTTTCTTCGTCAATCAACTCCATCAGTTCCTGGAAAATGCATATAAAAAGATTCAAATTAGGTCTCTTTTAGAATTATGGATATTAATAACTTCTAAAAATTTCTAATACTTACCATACCAGTTTCATCAAATCGTTTTCGGTCGCTGCTGTCAATCACATAAATCTAAAAATTTCCTTCATTACGTCCAAGAAATAAAACGGGAATATGAAATAAATAATGTATAAAATATAAATAAATATAAAAAATAAAATATAAACGAATGATATATTTTTCAAACATATTTTTCTCAAGTAAACCTCTATAAATTTCCATGACTTCATTAATTTAATTTCAAGAAGCTAATCTAATTGCTAATTTTGATGTCAACTGTAATGCACCTCGGCCTCCGTCAGATTTCACTTTTGTTTAGGAAGGCTAGGAGTGCTAAATTCATGATAAAGCACCATTTTTATTTCGCAGTATAGCCGATTTAGCTATTTCAGTTCGAAGGCTAATATATGTTTTGATAGAAGTGAATATTTAGTAATAAAAGAATTGAAATAGAATGAATTGTAAAAAATTTTCAATGAAAAAATGCATTCTAAAACGTCGGTATTTTCAAAATAGTTTTTCCAGTAAGGACGAATTTTTCGTTGTCCACCAATATCCCAAACATTTAACTTAATTTCATCTGACACAACACTTTTAATATTGAATCCCTGAAAATCTCGTAGAATCTTGAGTAAATCAGAAATCAAAAAGTTATACGAATGTTCTATGGACGAAGTTTTGTTTTCCTGAGAAATCTCCTCTATTGTTAGCTAAGTTAACTTTTATTTATCTTTGTAAGCCAGTTGTGAATGGCAGAAAATGCAACTATTCAACCTATTTTCCTCACGGATTCAATAGTACTGATTGAGAATCGATGGAGATCGGGATATATTGTGTCTTCTTCATATTAAAATGTGAAAAATATGAATTCTAACGTGTTTTCAAAAATCGTATTCAAAGAAAAACCTGTGTTGGAGTAATGTGGGCTATATCTTCCGATGCCAAATTTTTTAATATTGTTGTTTTCCCAGCGTTATCCAATCCTAATTAATTTATATCCATAAATGATTGCAAATGAAACATTTTGAAATATTTAGACAAAAATTAAAATCACCAAGTGTTTTTTTCAGAAGAAAATACTAATTTCGATAAAAAGCTATAATTAAGATTACTTGAGAATTTCTTGAAAAAGATTCTAGATCGATCGAAATTCACTCAAATTATTTTAAAAGGCTTTAGTTTTTACCGCTTGTTGAAATATTATCACTATCCATCCAAAAAAAAGAAATAAATTTCTGTGTGAACGAACCAAGAAGAAGAATCCTGAGTTCGGTTCCTCGATGGCTCTTAAATTTTCGAAGAATCGATAACAAACCCTGAAAAAGAAGTTAATTGTGAGTCGTTTGTATTTCAAAAATTGTTTTCATTTTTCCACTATCTATCTGCTAAAATCATCGCAACTTTAACTTTAGCTTCAACTATAGCGATTAAAGCATCAACTATAGCGATTTGCCTAAAATATCATAGCTAAGATTGCTCTGAAATGCAAGGAATCATCGCCACACTCATGCCAGAAATAAAAAAGAATTATACAGAAAAGCCGGGAAATGAAATACCTTCTCTAAGGTGGTTCTTCGACAATAAAATATAAAAACTGGCAAACTAACCATAATAAACGGAGGCAAATTATATATGGGTTGTCACTTGAAGCTTGTTAGAAATTGTTTGTACGAATAAATATGGGTAAAAACCATTAAAATTAAAGAAAATTTAATGAAAAAAATTTCTGAAAATTCTGATGAGTACTTGAAATGAATTTCAATATTGCTTCTCATATATATTGGCTGTATCCATGGCTACGTTGCGTTTCGAAAATTGAAAACGACTATATATAATATTCAGAAAGATTGATTTATAGATAATAAATATATATGTAGGGAAGATAATAAGAGGCAAAAGAAGTTCGAGCATTGGGGTGTTTAGCACGAGTATTGTCTGGAGATCCAGAAACTTCACTAAATAACTAACATTATGGATGAATATAAAATGAATGAAAAATCTCAGTTTACTAGCTCATTAACTTTGCATTTCATATTTTCTTGAGTTTTTTATATAAATAAATATTTTTAATAGGCTTAATAAAAGAGTCGAAGCTGAATTATTAAATCTTTTATGCTATAATTTCTGAGTAGTGCGGGGAGCCTCTTCTATGTTCATGTAATTCTCTGACCAAACTCTCTGATATGATACCAATGGTTAGTGGATTTAGCCGAAGAAAAAGCATTTTAATATTTATTTTAAAACCTTTTATAAACCCTAATTATTCTATGATTAATTAATTAATAATTAATCTGTGAGATTTAAATTAAATTTAAATGTGGAAAATGAATTAATTATAAAATGTTTTTTCATAAAATGCTAAATTCACCGATGTTGAAAATATTGTTTGTTAATAATAATGAAGAAAAAATTCAGCTGAAATCATTTCTTGCAAAATTTCAAAAATTTTCATTATCCATAAGTGTAACATAATAATAACTTTGTATTTCATTCATGAAACGTGGAATAGTTAATGTTTAATTTCAATCATTCGTATTCTTTATTAGCTAAGAACTACAAATTGTTTGATGGCAAAAAAATGATTTTCAATGAAAGTTGCAGTTTTATATATTGGAGATATTTTTCATATTCAGAGGCGTGATAGTGGAATAGTTCATTGTCGTATTGAAAGTTAAGGTTTTGTGGTCTACCTTGGCAGAACCCCTCGCTAAAAAATTCAAGTGATGCTGTCGATCGACAGTCTATTCGATCGACTGTTGTCAAGTAACTTCTTCACCGCAAATAGCGAAAATAATTAGTTAGAGATGGTGAGCGCTAACTAATTACTTAGCCATTTACCGGATTGTCTGCAGCCTTAGTAACTAGCTCAGAAAAACGAAAGATTATAAGATTATATTATAAAAAAGGCACGTAATTGAAAAAAGATGTGAAGAGACACTTTAAAAATAACAGAATAACAAAATAACAGAAGACAGAATTTTTAGAAAAGTTATTAATATGAAAGGGAATTTAAATAAAATTATTGATAAAATTATTATTAAAAGTATCCAATTATCCAATCCAAGTAACTGAGTTACTAACAAAGCCGATGACCACGACGATAATAACAAAAATACAAAATAGTTGAGAAAAAAAAATTGCTGAAGTAGAGAAAAGAAAATTTATATTGTGTTAAGTGATAAAGTGGATAATTTGTTAAATTTTTTTTTAAAACTAGACACTTATGGTGCAAAAACTACATCAGTCGGCAATTTATTTTAATATTATTGCCAATATATAACAAAAATTACAAGCCTACTTTATTCTTACAAATAGGTTTCCATACCTTTAATTCATTCCTCTAGTATTATTCAAATTTAAAAATTTTTATAAAGGTCGAAAAATTTCGTACGGTTTAAATCCTGAGGCCAAAGAGCATCTTATTAATACAAATCTTATTAATACAGTTTATGTCTAATTCGCTCAGTTCTTCTTAAGGAATCATATAATTTGACTTGGAATTTGAATCTAATTTATAGTAAGTATACTTTAAAGGCACAAAAAATACTTTTGGAAGTTTTTAATCAATTTAACTGACTAAAGAGATCTAAGATCTTAAAAGATGAAACAAGCTGCGTGGTGTTCTAAATACAGGCAAATGAAATTCTTAATCCCATTAATGCGAAAGGATGCGAACTTATTTTTAAAAGATCCAGACTTAAAGTCTGAAATAATTGTTTGATACTGGTGGCATTACTATGTGGATCAAAATTACGATTATTAATATTTAAAGCCTGATTTAATGAGTCATTACTTTTATATTGTCGATAAATATTAGAGGAGAGTCGAATGATTTTAAAGCAATATGGAGAATTTCACACTTTTTGATAGACCATTTAATTTTTTTTTTTTTTAATTTGCTTATCAGCCATCTAATCATGTTTCTAATCATGTAATCCAAATCAGTCTATTAAGGCAAATAAACCGTTCGATTTCGTATAAGGTTAATAAACTTTGCAAAACTTTATTAATAATACAGAGATATTAGAATATTAAAATTGCTACTAACGTCAATAAAACCATTAATATATATAATGAATAATAAAGTACCAAAAGAACTTTGTGACACAGAGGCGCCTATAGAAAATTATTAATAGGGAATGCTTGAAAATGACCACTTAAATAATCGGAAATCCAAATAAATAAATTCTAATTTTACATTCTAATTCTAATTCTAATTATGTAATGAATTTTACATTTTCTATTTATTCTAAATAGTTTTTAGGAATTTATTATACAAGACAGTACAGTATTAAATGCTTTGGCTAAATTGAGATAGCAATAACTTTAATCACAATAACTTTATGGGAATATTTTTCTTGCCATTATTAATTTCGTTTTAAAAATTACAATTTTCTAGGGTTTTTCATTATTTTTCATTATTTTCTGAATATTTTCCACACTTGCAACATTGCTTTTTTGGAATAAACTTAACTTAACGGAATATATCGCTTAAGTTCAATTCTGACTCGACAATTCAATGCAGTCAACACTCAGTGTATATAATCATTAAAGAGAGTGGTGGTATTTTTTGCATGCAGAAATCATGCTGATAAAATTGAATTATTCATCCTAAATAGAAGGATCATAAAGTTTAAATTTCAAATATGTTCTTCGCAGCTCTATTCACGCTAAAGGCTAATATTAGCCTTCAGCATGAATCATTTTAGGTTCAGAGAGCTGAGAGAGTTTTTGCCCAAGGACACGATATGGCTTCATTCGAAGAGTTTAAGATTCGATTTCATTTATATCTGGTCTTCCTTATGGATAGATAGCTGTATGGTTGGCAGACAGAACGCTGTATAATGAAATAAATTTATAGAAGTTAACATAAAATTCAAAATATTCAAAATACTTTTATATTAAGCATCAACGTGTTGCCCTAGAATAAAAGAAATCTTCATATTTCTCAAAATAAATTTTTTTAAAATTTCCCATGCGTTAACAAATTATAAATTTCTCGTAAAATTGAAGATTATCATAAACTATGCTTATTCGCTTTTAATTTTAAGCTATAATAAATCTTTTTAAAATTTATTTTAGATCTCTATTTTTATCTCTATTTTAGATTCCTATTTTTATTGAGCTTATTTTACTTTAATTAAAATATCTTTAATATCTTTTTTAAAGCGATTTCTTTTACATGGTGCAAAAATTCATAAAATTTTTAGTGAATCACAATAACTTTATGGGAATATTTTTCTTACCATTATTAATTTCGTTTTAAAAATTACAATTTTCTAGGGTTTTTCATTATTTTTCATTATTTTCTGAATATTTTCCACACTTGCAACATTGCTTTTTTAGAATGAACTTAACTTAACGGAATATATCGCTTAAGTTCAATTCTGACTCGACAATTCAGAATCTGAAGTAACTAACGGATTTCCCTCGATTGTATTGTAATATGGATGATAATCCGTTCAACCAAATCCAAAATACCAATTTAATATTCTCGAAAAAATTATTATCATTAAACAATTAGTTGTCATTGTATAAAACGATAAAACATATTCAGACCATTTCATTTCCGCATAAAAATTTATTCCATTGAATCCGACAAAGTTTTTTAACTTAGTTTTCCTTGTTTTGGAAAGAAATTTTAAATTTAAATTTGAATAGTCTAAATTTTTTAAAGGATCCGATTAAGTGGATTTTAATTTAATTTGTTAATTTTATTAATAGTTTCTCTCAAGAAATATTTGTTATGATGGTTTATTATTAGGAAAATTTTAAAGAAAAGCAGTTGTCCTCTTCTCAGAAGCAACCCTGGATCGATGAAATCGATAAAAGTGCAGTGATAAAGTGATGATTTTTGATGAAAGTGCTTGATATCCGATATATGATATCCGATTTATTTACGCCCTAAGCAGTTGTTATCACCAGTTATTAGCAGTTGTTATGCAATTATTCACTGCTGCCTTCATATGTTGATAACTGTTCTATGCCAAAGTCAGATGATGCATCTTTCTTTCCTTCATTTATTTACTTATTTCAAAATAATTTAGTAAGTATGGTATTAAGTAATTTTGAAAGAAATAAATGAAACTTCCTGATAGAAGTAAGTGCACCCAAATCACCACCTGGATTTTTTATTAATAGAGGTTTGCTACCGTCAAGGATTAGAGACTGAGTCATGACGCTTGAATCGACATCGGTCAAACGTTTCTTAATTTATTTTAATGTTACTTCATGAAAGGTAATAAAGTCTTTTGAACTTTAATTCTTAATTTTATTTTCAAATCTTTTTATGATTAATTATGCTAACTTCACTAACTGATTTCATTTATTTATTGTAAATGCCATTGATGAACGTTAATGGGAACAGTGGTTTTCTGCTGCATTTTAAATGCATCTTTTATTCATTATTCAAATTCATTAAGGGCCCATAATAGCTTTCATTTCTGCGGATTGCACTTGTTAGTATTTGTAATGTATTAGGATTAATATTATTAGGCATTGTTATTATGTATTATTATTATGCATATATTATATTATTATAATACTGCGGAAATGGTTCTGGCCTTGAGAATCTCTATCTCAGTTCCTTCTCACTTCCTTTCGTGATTTAGAATTGATTTAGATCAATTAGATATTTTTTGTAAAATCATTCTAAGAATGATACGAAATACCAAAACAAATACCAAAAATAAAGTAAAAGTTGTTTTATAGCTTTTGCCAGTATGAATAAAAATTTACTAATTTCTACTCTTTTAAAAAAATAAAATTTGGAAAAAAACAAATATTATATTTTTGCGAGATTCGGATTTTCGAAATTAAATTTTTGATCAATTTTTTTGATTTTGGGATAATTTTTGAGAGAATTGCAAAGTATCTAATTCAATCAGCTGAATTTTGGGTTATTTTAGATCTTTGCTATTATATTGCTCAGAAAAAATATTTAAACCCTTATAGCAAACAATCGTTGCACTTTTTTGGTTTTAGTTTATCAGGAGAGAGCTAAATTATCCTTAAACCAACTAAAGAAATGGCTTCTTTGCTTTTATAAAATTTTTTTATATTCTTTGGAATCTATCTAAATTTCTCCAAAATCTATTATACTTTGCTACAGTTCTTTCCAAACCTTGATATTCCCTAACACTTTTCATTCTCTAAACTCCGTAAGCTTTGAAATGGAGAATATGGTCAGGATAGGAAACAAAATAATATATTGGCTATCGAGGCAATGATAAGGAAGAAAGATGGAGATTTCGCTGGTGGAAAGCAGTTTTAAAGAAAGTATAATGAGTCTTGCTAAAAGATAAGTAGATAAAGGATATATCTGTGGTACTTGATTAATTCCATGGATTGGCTGGTTAGACTTGGAAAAAAATCTGTTGTTAAATGTTTTCAAAAACCTAAGCAAGTAGATTTTAAAACAGCGCACACCATCAAATGATAAACTAAAGCGGATACAACATTTCATCTTATTGTTACTATTCATGTGTTTGCTTAGAAGCAAAACAGTTTGCAGATGAAAAATAAATTCGCAACACATTTTATTTTTGTATAATAATTATATGGAATAATTAAATATAGTTTTCTATGAAATAATAACGGAAGAATAAATGGGATGAATTGCTGGTTATAAACCTATATTTGTAAGTCAAAATTCATAATGTGCACCAATATGTGTGCCAAAATTTCTTAAGTCACAATAATTCCAGATGAAACGATTCTTCTTTTTTTCATAAAGACTATGACTTTTTCCTTTTTTATCGAATGACATTCCTCATTGCACCTCATTTACTTTTGGCTAACTACGCTAATTGTCAAAGCTGTAACCCTTTCGCCTGGGGAAAAAAATTTAGGCCCAACTGCTCGTCCTCCTCTCTTATCGATTTCAACGCAGCTTTATCATATATGCTCCTATGCTTTTGATCAACTTGCTTTTTACTGGAATGAAGCTTGAATAGGCTTTGTCTTCGAATTTTTTCTGAATAAATATTCTTAAACCACAGACCAAATCTGATTCTGTGAAGGTGATTTAAAAGACTATTAAGCTTCTAAAAATTAAGGTTTAAATTAATCTGAAAAATCAGAATGTGGTTTAAATTAAATAAGTAATCTTCACAATAAATTTAAACGTAATATAAAAAATTTATTACGTAATTTTATTACGTAATTTATAAAATTTATTAATATAAATTTATAAAGAAAAGAATGTAAATTGAAAATTTTTGAAGCAATTTGAGAGGAAACAGAAAAGAGGTCGAGATTTTCAAGATTAGAGCAAACTTAGCGAAACATTTTAAGATTTTATTGACTCTAACCAGATGTACAGCAGCAATGCAGAAAACTGGCTTAAATATTTCTCCACCTTTTGTGCATATTATCCTTCCGTGTTGATTTGCGTTGAATATTATTGCACCTCACATCCTTTCTTTTTATTTAAAGGTAATTTTATTAAATATTTTTGCTGGAAAAGTATTTTTTCTATATTTTTAAAAATTGAATTCAGTATAAAATTTCTGCTTTTTGAAAGTTTTTACAAAATTATGATTAAAATACTTGCTCATATCTATTTCAATCATATTGTGCATGAATCGCGTTTCAGTTTATATGATTTTTTGGATAAATCTTTCGGATAAATGGTGATTTCTTGAGCAGCTTTTCAGAGCATATCAAACTCTTGGGTTTCTTTTGTATGATTCCAACATAAACTAATGTAATCGATGTTTTTTCCGACGATTAATCCTTCGCCAATTAATTGGCAAATATGTCAAAAAAGAATGTATTGTGATTAAAATAAAATATGAGCTTTATTTCTATGTTTCCAGCTTTATTCTTCCTCTGTTATTGAATAATAATACCTTCAGCTTCAATATGTCCTCGAGCAGGTACAGTACTTCATGTGCTCCTAGGCGATCTATTCCTTCTCCCTTGGTGTTTTCACCATCAGCCGATCAAAGCCAAAATTCCGCTTCATTCGATTATGAAAAATTCAGTTTTTCTACCATATCGAACGCAAATGCATGTAAATCAAAGAGACCATCTATATTACAAAGATTACCATTATCTAACCAGAAATATTCAGATGCTGAAGGGCATTTTGAACAAAAATTAAACGAAGAAGCTTATGGAAGACGGAAAATTAATAGGAGCAAAAGTTACGAAGTGCCAGCTCGTAAAATTTCTATAGAACGACAAAGCGTTTCACGATATAATAAAAAAAATGAGGATAATGATAACTCGAAAAAATATTCTGGAATATCTGTTCAGAATAAAGCTTCTTCGGTCCTCGATAATACTGCCACTTCGTCATCAAATTGTCGGCAGAAATTGAATTTAGATAATGGCACAAATCGATCATTTCGAACAATGTTAGCAGAAAATAAAACGATAATGAATTCTACAATCCAGTATAATCCAAGTTTTAAAGGCCCTTCCTCAAGTTCATCATGGAAGACGCCCATATGCAATAATTTTACACAAGCTAGTGCAAGCGATACTTTTGTCAGTCAACAATTCTTTATGCAACGGCTTTTACAAGCCCATCAAATTGTTGATGAATTACTAAAATCACGCGGACTACAACCAGAGGATGAAAGGAATTTTCTTCGATATTGGGATCAGGATCCCATAATCGAAGAAGAAATTAAGGTCGATTTTTCTCGACGATCTAGCGCTTCAGATTCAGGCCTTTCGCTGGATAATGATTCGGATCACTCAACTTTAGAGGAGATTCACGAGATTATATCAGAGTGCCAAGACTTGAATCGTCAAGAAACTGAGTCACAAATCGTCCAGTGTAGTTTCAATTTCCAGCGCAATCTCTGTTTTCAATGTCTTTTTATCGAGTCAGTTTCTCCCATTGCTATATGTTCTTCTGCGCTATTAAACATCGTAAACTTCACGCAGAAACGACTTTATAAAAGTTTTGAAGTAATTTCTCCTGAAAATAACAAATCGAAGCAAAGAAATGTTGCAAAGCCCAAATTAGCGAGACAAAAACCTGCTTCACCTACAAAATCACTTCAACGTTTCGAACAGTGCTCAGTAATTAAAAGCTTCCATAATCCCTATCGATCTTATTTAGGAATTTCAATAATAAGACAAATTTCCAATTCCAATTGGATCTCTAGAAGAGTGAGAAGAAAGGAAGAAAAAATTTGCAAAATTCTTCACTTCAATAAATTTTCAATTTCTTCTCAGGAGGCTTTATTTGTAATGCGCAGAAAAGATCCATTAATCACTATCTTTTTTAATGTCCACGAGCCGCAAATTTTCAATTCAACTGCAAAAAATGCGCAATTGACTCTCCATGAAATGAAAAACAATAACGATCAGTCAAGTACGACAGCTTTAAGAAAGGCATTACCCGCACAAGTTCATAAGGAAGAAAATAAAATACCAATAGTCGCTAAAATATCAAAAAATTTTAAGATAGTGAACTCATTAGATTCAAATTTTTTAGAAAAACTTAAAAACAATCAGAATCAGCAAGATGAAATTCGTTTGATAAAAAATAATTTAAGAAAAGTTGACTTTAATAAAACAGTCAGAAAAGAGGGTTTGAAAATTTATTGCATTCAAGACTATCACCTAAGAACGAAAAAAAATATTCTCAATGAATTCAATTTAAATGAAACTCAGCAAGAAGATGGTGAAACTTTGGTAAAATATGAAAATATACGACGGATTGACAAAACAAATATAGGAAAGGATAATGAAAGATCGAACAAAATAAAGCAAATAACACCTCGAAGAACTGATGGAAATTCGAGTATCATTAACCAACATCAAAAAACAGTGGAGCTCATTAAGCCAAAAGAATGTGAAGAAAATAAAGAAGGAAGTCGAGGATTGAAAAAAATCGAAAAAGTGGATAGCCGAGAAATAAATAAGGTTCGTAAAGAGAGGAAACATGAAAAAGAAGATAACACAAAGGGAATAAATCACGCACCAGCGAAATTAACTCAGAAAAAGAGCACTTCTATAAGCAAAAATGAAGAAATTCCGATCAAATCACTAGCGAATAATGCAAAAGATATTAAGACTGGTTCCGTAGGCTCTCCAAATTTCACTGAAATTAGTGAAAAAATGGACCGAATCTTTATTAATGAATTTCGCCGAGAAAAGGCAATACCAAAGCCAAAAGCTGTTATCAGATTTCCATCACCGATACCATTCAAGTTTATGGAGAATAATCCAATAGCTTTATCTCAGGATCGATCTTTTTCACCAATAAAATTTATTCAACGTGCAACTCCTAAAAATCGAAAATTACTATCTGAACCATCGTTTTTCGAAAATGATCCTGTTAAACAACATTTAACTGGTTCAATACTAAAGCCTACGAAAAAAGCTGTAAAATCTCCGCCATCGCTTACTTCCATACAACCATCTTTTCCACCCCAAAATCGTTTTGGTGTCGTTTTGAAAAGAGTTAATCGCCAAAAAAATGAAACGAAATGTGGTGCAATTACGAATTTGACACCAAAGGAACCGTGGATACCAAAATGGCGGAGAATACAGCGGTAATTTTTGTACTAATACAAAATTATTAGATTAAATACATTACATTAAATATATAATATTAGATTATTATGAAATATTTTTTTCTTTCTTTTATCAAATGAAATTTTTCAGCTCAGAAGAGAAAGAAGAGTTTTTCACAAAAAAAGAAGAGAAAATGAAACGATCAACTGATGAGAACCGAGAAAGAAACAAGTAATAAATATTTTTGATATTAAATTTTCATTTGGAAAAAAATTTTTTATAAATTTATTTTTAATTTTTATAAATTATATTTAAAAATTTTTTTATAAATTCAAAATTTTGGAAAATGTCAATTAATTTGAATTTTATCATTTTTTAGCATTAAAAAGTTTAAATGCTTCCTCTCACTTCAAAAAAATATTTTTAGAATGCGTCGCTCTTCGCAAATTATTGATGATAAAATAAATATGAATGAAGCTAAAATAGCTCTCTTGGTAAATTATTTCATTCTTTCGTTGAACTCCGTTTTCATTTTTTTTTTCTATTGTAAATTTTCTGCATTTGAAATTTAGGCATCAAAGAAGCGGCAAGAAGAAGAAGAAGCCGCAAAACTTCAGGATTATAAAGAACGTCGACAAATTGAAAGAAAAAATGAAGAAAATGAACTTAGAATCCTTCGAGAAAAACAAGAACGCCGTCGTATAGAAAGGGAAAATGAAGAGCGTCAAATTCTGGAGCAAAAAAAGCTCGAAGAAGCTGAACGTCAACAAGAAGCGCAGGTTTGACGAGATAAAAATTGATTAAAAATCAGCTTTAGTTTTAATTCAATTGCTAATCATTTCAAATTTATCAAAATATGTAGAAATTTTCGAGACAATTCTAATAAAAAATTTTAAGTGTCGTTCAATCTGGCATTTTTATTTTTATTATTTTAATTGACAGTTTTATGATTTTAGAAACAGTGTAAAGAAAAAATAAAAAAAGAAAAGCAAATAGACGAAGAGAAGCTCAAGAATAAAGCCGTTATCAATCCATTCGGCCAAATGCACAAAAAAATCCTTTCAACAATGAAAACTAATCGCAGTGATAAATTTGGCAATATTGTCCAGGTTGAACTTAGATTGATTCCAATTTTTCTTCGCTAGTAATTAAATATCCCTTATTATCGAACATACAGTGGTTCTTAGAATGTTTAAAAGATTAAAATAAAAACGAATAATTTCTAGGCAAAACAAGAAATGGGTATGACGAAGGACCAAAAAGAAGAAGCCAAACGCACTTATCTATTAAATGTGAAGAAAAGCCTCATTCTACCTGCCGAAAATAGCGATGAACTGGTGAATAAAATAAAATTTCTTCATCAAAAAATCGGAAAACTTGAAGCTGAAAAATATGATTTAGAAAAAAGGCATGAACGACAAGAATACGATGTATACTTCTGGAATTCTTTATTTATTTTTATTTGCACCATCAAAACAATTTTTTACTGTCAGAAATCTTACTTTTTAATGAAAATTTTGCCTCGAAATGCGAAAACAATATAAATTTTCTCAATATTTCACCAATGTCTTGCTATCATTCTAAAAAATTTTTTGAACTAATATAATATAATGATATGAAATATTTTCTTGTAGTTGAAAGAGTTAAATGAACGTCAACGACAAGCAGCACGAAACAAATTTGATAGAAAAAGTATTGATTCCGATGATAAGCTTGCAATTCGACATCCGGTTTGCCTTCTTTTTTTCCGCTAATGTCAAAATTATTTACTGAAGATTCATTATATATTTCTAGATCAATCTACGATTGCATTATTAACCAAGTTTAAGCTAATTCACTAAATTCGTATTTCACATAAATTAATAAATAAACATTAAAATAAATATTAAACCTCATCAATCGAGTAAAATTTTCAAAATCATCCTTTTTTTCTATCCTTTCAAAATCTTTTCAACCATTCTTTCATTTTTCTTTCAAGATTTTTTGCTTAGAAATATCTATGGCATATAAAATTCTGTAAAATGTGGATGTTTCTTATCATAATGAATTTATCTCTTATCATTTTATTTGTGATTCTAATTCAATATATTGATGTTATCACTTTCTAATTGCGTCTCAAAAAATCTCATAAATTTGAACCTTTTGGTGGAATTGAATAACTGCATATTTTTCTTTGATTATAGCATTTATATTTACAGTTCTCTCTCTAGTTTTAATTTTTAACCCATAGCATCTATGCAATTGCCAAGGCTTTAAGATATCAAATTTAAGCCCTTTTAAAGTGCCATCTGTAAGAAACCCCGAAAATACATTTCGTTATGTGATATCTATTGTTGCATGCAATTACTCTACTAACAAGTCATCGTGAGGTTTTATCTTTTTCTTCCAAATATTTTTCTACATTAAAAATTTCGCTTAATTTCAGCCAAAAGTAGCTATCTTCAGCAAATACGATCGACAAGTCGATCGTCGCGATTTTTCTGCACGTCGAGCAATTTTCGAGAATGTACGAGTCCATTCGATATTAACCTTTTTTGCCATTTACTTTAACTTTTTCTTCGATTTTACAAGGATTGTTGCACAAACAATAACAAATAAGGTAGTTCATAACTTCTTAAGAATTGCAATTAAGTGTTGAATTTCAAATTTTTTTCAAAAAATATTAATATTGCAAATTTGATCATACTGCATATTATATTACTCATCGGTTTATTTTTCTCTGGTTATTGTATATAGAAAAGGATTGAAAAAAGAAATATTAAATGTGGCTTAACATCCCTTCTTGGTGTATATAAAAAGATAGCTACTGATGTGCAACATTCCTGCTCAGCTTCTCTTTATGTATAAATAAATCCGATCGTTGGAAGCACTAGCGATTTATTTTATTCATCAGGTAAGGTTCTCAACTGAATGTGGTTTCAGCTAAAAAAATTTTATTAGCAGTAATAATAAAGATTGTTTGTGATAAAAGCGCAATAAGGCGTTATAAATAATTCGATAGTTACCAGCGCTTTGGCAACTACTAATTGGTTTATTTGATTTTTTTAACATTTGACTTTTTGTTTTTCCGAGTTATTTATCCAATACTGCTTGCAGAAAAATGCATATCCATGTTTCCCTAATATAGTTCCGCCACCAGTTAAACTAAAGAAAGCTATTAAAACTGATGATGATGAGGTTAGTTCTCAAAAATTTCACCTCCAATATTTTGTAATATATCCAAGTTTTTAAAATTTTAAATCATTTTAAAAGTGACTTGAATTGAAAACTGAAACTTTTAACTTATACAACTTTGTTTTTACCACGTAATAGTATGAATATTAAAATATTTTTTTGCGAAAGTATGCCGATAATATAAATTTTTTAAAAGTTCAATTCGGTTAATCTATTTCTTCGGTTTTGTTATGAAATTAATTTTAGAATTTTAACAATGGCATAGATATGGAAATAGAAATTTATGAAAATACGAAAAAAAAGAATAAGAAAGATAATGTATGTTATGAAAAATACACGAAAGAGAATAATTACAAATGGAATATACTGAACGAACAAGAAGAGAACGGTAAAGAAATGGTTCAATGGGATAAAGAAATTGAAGAGATGGACGTTGTACCTTTCAACATAAAACTGAAAAGTACTGTGGAAGAGGACGATAGCGAAAACGAAGAACTCGCAGAAGTTGAAAAAAATAAAGAAATGGAAGAGGAAGAGGAAGAGGATGAGGAAATTGAGGAAGAAGAAGATGAAGAAGATGAAGATGAGGAGGAAAAAGAATAACGAAACAACATTCATGGGTTCTACTTGTTAGCATGTTATAAATCGTCCTTTACCAACAATGTCCTTTTGTGCTTGTCCATGTTTCAATTTATTTTCTTTTACAACTTTGATAATTACTTTGATATTTAGTGTTACTTCATATTATTTTATATTTTCATAAAATGCATGACAATTTACATATCAACAGTTGCTTTATAAAATAAAATTTTACTATCAACCATTCGCAAATTAAAATAAAACAAGTATAAGGAGAAAGAATATTTCGCTAATAAGTTTTTTTATTAGATTTTTTTGGTTTTTAGTCCAGGGCATCCAATTTTATAAATCTAATTAAGTTTAGTTACCTCAATCTTAATTTCAGTATTACTTCACGTTTACGTTTACGTTTACGTTTAGGCCATAAATTAAGCCGATAGCGCTCACCATAACTGGTCGGGAATAGATGGATTGAAATTTTTAATGATGTACTCTTTTTTTTCCGGGCAATATTCGAAACATTGCGCTTCGAAATGATAATTTAACGATAATAAGACGATAATAAGTAACAACCAGTTACTTATTATCAGTTACTTATTATCTATCCTCTAACAAGCAATAAACGTGCAAAAATTAATGCAATAATTTAAAAAATTTTCTTCGTCTAACAGTTCTCATCATTAGTGGTTGGCTCCACCAGCTACAAGAGTAAAAAGTTTCCTAGCCGCGCGATCTGATACCATCGTCAACAGTAATAGAAGCCATTCCTTTTTCCGTTGTTTAAGTCCATATAGTGCTGGTAAATGTCAACTCTTGGTGGATGATGAAAAAACGCGTTCTAACTAGCGAAGATGATGCATCATTGTGGTACTATTAAGTGATATATGAGAAAAATTAAATGCAATCATGTGAGATTTTATGCACTAGGCAAATCTGCATCATAAATATGAGCGGTCAAAGGTAACTTCTTAATATCCTCCACCTATTTTTATTTCAAATAGGATCAATCAGTTCCCCATATACACTTACCTGTGCCAAGGTATAAAATGCCTTCATGAGCCGAATGATCTTCTCTGGGATATCCGTCACATTCCATCATCACATTCCATCACTTTCCAGAGCACTGCTTTATCACTCGAATCGAATCGAAGACAGCCGCAAAGTCGATAAAAGAAGATGGGTTGTAGGTATTCGAAGCGATACTCCAACATCCTCCTTAGCGTGAATAGCTCGTCAGCATAACAGCATCCAGGCCTGAATACAGTTTGATTAAAGCGCATCCTGCTGTCCTGATCTGCCATAAATCTATTGAGTAAAAAGAAAGCAAAAAATTTTCGCTGAGACAGGCTGATTTCTTGGTAATTGTCAGTATGTCCTGTTACCTTTCTTGAAAATTGGGAGCAGAATTGCTTTCCTCCAATCATCTGGTAATATTTCTTTTTTCCATACTAAAGAATACATTTGTTGAGGGTGCGTTATGAAGAACGATGGACAACATTTGAAAGTTCAGCCCGAAGACCATCTTCTTCCGGAGTTTTATGGGCCTTAAGCTTATGGTTAACGGAGATTATTTCTTTTTCTATTGGCGGTTCGCAGTTGCAGTATTTCGACAAACGAATCAGCTATGTCCTGCTCAATAGCGCACCATGGTTAAGTTTGGCCTCAAAGAATTTCTTCCATCAAATAAGGTGATACTCGTAATAGGCACACCATTGTTATGTCTTACCATTTCATCGACTATTTCTCAAGTTGTAATTGCTTTATGAAGAAGGGGGAATAGTTTCCTATTATCACCTATCCGAGCCACAGTCTCCGTTCTCAAGACCATGTCACTTTAATAGCCATGTTGCTGTCGTTCGAAATATCCGGTAGTCAGGATCTCCTGATATTCTTTGGCAACATTTTCAGACAGTTGGACAATTGCTTCCGATACCCAATTAGCGCATTTCCTACTAGTATGCCCTAGTGTGACTTTCGGAGACATCCCTTTAGCTTGGGCCAACATTTGTTTACCGTTCCAGAAAATTCATTGTTATTTGTACCATTGAAGTGCTTCAATAATTCGATTTGAAATGTTTACTGAATTTTTGAGATAACTGAAAGATCTTGGTGTATGCTGTTTCTTTTGAATTGTTAATGTTATATGGATCATGGCTTGGACCATAACATGGTCAGATCCATGAAAATTTCCCGTTTTAGAGTCACGATAGGAACGACTATCTACGGAAGTCTTCCAACGGCGACTCATTAAAATATAATCAATCTGGTTGAAGTGTTGGTTATCCGGGGAGTTCCAACTGATATTAATAAAAAATCCATGCTTTTCGGTGTAACCAATAAGGTGTTTCTTATTGGCTCACCGGTCTCCGATACCATATTTGCTAATTGTTGAGTTCATCGCAGCGACATTACGACACACGCGCATTCCAGTATCCTCCGATTATGACCATGTCATATTTCGGTAGAGACCTTGTTAGCAGTTCCACATAGAAATTATCTTTATTCCAGTCATCTGCCGACAGAATTGGAGTATAGACACTGATGACCGAGATATTGTAGAACTTATCTTAAAGCAAGCATAGCCTATACGGTCACTTACCGGTTTCTACTCAATCAAAGCGGAATGGGCTTTGTCAGATAATCAATGAAAATCAAACGTGAGAATCGCTACTCCATTTCGTCCGAGTTATTCGAAGCACCACAGTAATATAGCAAGTATCTCTACTCCGAACCAGGATTAGTAATTACTCGAGAACCGAAGTGGGAAAAATATTTAGAAAGGGTGCTTCGAATAACTTGGGAGAGTGATCGCTTGACTTGCAATGTCCATACGTTCCGAAGTTCCACGCTGATACGGCACTTGCCGCATGTGCAGAGAGCCATAGCCATTCCCTTTGATAGGTTTTGAGCAATTGTCCTGGCAATTGTCTATTTTATTTATGAACCTTGGGATCGTGTTATGCCCGCCCGGATTGTATATTTGTGCCACAAGGCTAAGAAT